TCATCTTTTTAAATGAAAAAGGAATTATAGTTCATAAAATATATATATATGGACATCTCGAGCAAAGGAAAACCCAGGTACACAGAGAGCTCTGGCTATACTGGGATTTACAAGTCATTATATTTAATGACTTATATTTCATTTACATTTACAATCGTTCCGTGACGAGTCATCATCGACGCTAGAATGCCCCAGCATGGCTCGCCATTCATCACCAAGGACGCGGCCTCCCAAAATGTCCGTGTAAACAAATCATCCAGACCTCAATGGTGCAAGGGGACTATTGTTTACTAATAACGGCATGGATCCTCCGTAATATTCCCCCCCCCACCCCCACCCCCAAAACTTCTATTGTAACATTATCCTTTCAATATAACGTTTGTGTGGTGGAGGATTGCGTGGAAGAACGACCCGGAATACAGTCTAGGTGGAGGATTGTGTGGTAGAACGACCTAAAATGTAGTATAGGTGGAGGATTGTGTGGTAGAACGACCTAAAATGTAGTATAGGTGGAGGATTGTGTGGTAGAAAGACCTAAAATGTAGTATAGGTGGAGGATTATGTGGTAGAAAGACCTAAAATGTAGTATAGGTGGAGGATTGTGTGGTAGAACGACCTAAAATGTAGTATAGGTGGAGGATTGTGTGGTAGAAAGACCTAAAATGTAGTATAGGTGGAGGATTGTGTGGTAGAAAGACCTAAAATGTAGTATAGGTGGAGGATTGTGTGGTAGAACAACCCGGAATGCAGTGTAAGTGTGGGTTGGCGTGCTGGCTTGAGGCTATGAGGCGGTGTATCCACCTTTTAGAAGTACGCTCTGTGGTTATTCTTTGGCTCCTAACCCACAAAAACACGATAGAGGAAACCGTGAAGGCCTATTGGCCCAAGCGAGACAATATTTATACTCTAGACGCCCATATATGTCCAACCTTCGATTAAAACAATCCAACGATCCACATCTATTATGCTCAGCTCGTCACCCTAACGTTTCCCCAACGTCAAGAAACTATCCTACTAATGTACCCTTTAGTAAAAGCTGGGCTGAAACTTGCGGACCGTCAAGATTGGCGTGTCGCTTCCCGCCAAACACACATCGAAACTCCGACGTTGCTACAACGTTCGAACAAGTTTTAACACCTAACCAGTTCTAACAACCAATATAGCAAGTTGTAACAACGTTCTAATACGTCATAAACACGTTAAGCAAAGATGTAACAACTTTATTACAAGTTGTAACAAGCGGAAAAGAGACAGTTTCGGTTTGAGTTTCCAGGTTTGTACTTGGAGCTATAAGATTCCTGTGCGTGTGCACCAGTGTGCGTGTACCGTAGCCACCCTGTACCGTATGGTCCGGTTTCCTAGAGTACAGTCAGCAGCATCTTTGTTTGATATCATGGTTGACGGCGGCTGTTGAGCGTTCCAGCACGACTCGCGCGGTCGAGCTGCCTTTGTCATGTGTGGGTGTGGGTGTATGTGGGTTTTCAGTTCATTGCTTTTCAAATATACGTTGTTTTTGATGATCAAACCACACACCAGAAGATGAAGAAACTACGATGATTCGGTCCGCCCTGGACCATTATCAAGCCGCATGTGATGCTCATCACACAAGACTTGATGATGGTTCAGGACGGACCGATTCGTCATTGTTTCTTCATCTTCTGGTGTGTGGTTTGGTGGTCATGTCTTCAGCCACGTTATTGTGACTCGTCTGTGTACGCTTTTTCTGGCCTGAGTAGCATCGGTTGGGTTGGGTTTTTGGATTGGATAGTTTAGGTTCGTACGCCAGGGGCCAGATTCACGAAAGCACTTACGCAAGCACTTACGAACCTGTACATCTTTTCTCAATCTTTGGCGGCTTTGTTTCCAATTATTAAACAGTTAATGAGCTCCGAAGCACCAGGAGGCTGTTTATAACAATAACAGTTGAACAGGCAGTTTTCATGCTTGTAAACTGTTTATTAAATGTAACCAAAGCCGTCAAAGATTGAGAAAAGATGTACACGTTCGTAAGTGCTTTTGTGAATCTGGCCCCTGTACAGTAAAATCGCGAAAAATCGAACACTGCAAGAATGTCATCTTCACTTAACTTGGAGTTCGTGTGTATTTGTAGGAAACTCGTCCCAATATTAAAAGGTATTTCCTAGGTGTGAATCATCGCAACGATTTATTAGTTTCGTGAATGGCTCGATACTGAAGGGTAGATTTTGCGATCTGTATGAATTCAGTGACTCAATAGTCCTTTGACGATACTGTTCTACCGTCTAGTTCTGAATGAGGGAGAGAATAGCAATAACACAGCTTTATGAGCCTTCTGTATGTAACTATTGTTGCTTCTGATGCGCATCACGGTGCTGTTCTGTTTCCTCTTTGGCTTGGCCGGAATAGTTTACAGTACCGCGTGGCTGGGTTGGTCGCTTGCTGCACCGCGCATGCGTGATCCGAGTCCTGATACTGCAAGGCTTGTGCACGAGGATCTGTTTAGTGGCTGTCGGGACTCGAGGGTGTGAGGGTGTGTTGTCATTATAGAACTCCGAAGCTTATGTGACGAGGGGTTGTGGCATGTCTGAAGTTGTTTAGCGAAGAGATTTTTGTGTTGAGAGACAAACAGGTGATATATAGAGCCTCAGTAGTGGGCGAGGAGAGAGAATGAACGTGGCAGCCGGTGCTGCATAAATATATTTCCAAGATACACTTCGAAGCCTTAAACCAAGTGTTAAATTTAGTCTTACACTTAGACTTGGGAGTCTTAAACTCCCTCCGAAGTGGGACGAGGCTACCTTTTGGTGTTATAGAAGAATCTGTTAAGAACAACACTGCTGTTATGTTGATGATCCAGAGTGGTGATGGCTCTTGAAGCCACTGATGGTGGCTCTTGAAGCCACTGATGGTGATGGCTCGGTGTGATTCACGTGCGCCTCCCCAACCCGTTCTCGCAAATTCGTATAGTCAATATTGACTTATTAAATACGTGCATAGGTGATATACTAAACATAATAGATACCCTTAAAAAGATCTGTGATCTGTGGAGGTGCAACTGCACCCTGCGTGACGGGAGATGTCTCCCGTGGTGTGCCCGACAGTCCAATGGGCTCTGCTCTTCTAGTTCCACAGAAGAGGTGAAAGATTATGTTCCAACCACGAAGGATAAGCCTTGGATTATCCTGTTGGGCCACAGGGCCTAACTTCTGTGTGTTGACGCTATCGGGGAGATGAACTGGGATTGTAAATTAAACCCAAATGTTAGATGAATATTAATATACTGACTACGCATCAGTAACACGTGTTTAGGCTCCAGAGGCATTAATAGACCACTGTTGACCAGACCACACACTAGAAAGTGAAGGGACGACGACGTTTCGGTCCGTCCTGGACCATTCTCAAGTCGATTGTCACAATCGACTTGAGAATGGTCCAGGACGGACCGAAACGTCGTCGTCCCTTCATCTTCTAGTGTGTGGTCTGGTCAACATACTTTAGCCACGTTATTGTGACTCGTCGCCTGTACTTCACTAAAATTCCCGACAATACATCATTATGAATTAAGTACAATCTATCCCCAGCAACAATCCGTGGCGTTTCGCGAGCGCTTTGTCTTGGGTTCGTATCCTGGCTGGGGAGGATTGACTGGGCGACAATCCTTAACTGTAGCCTCTGTTTACCCAATAACAAAATGGGTACCTAGTTAAACGATTTAGCGGGGGTCGTATTCCGGGGAACATAGGATTAAGGACTTGTCCGAAACACGATGCATGCTAGTGGCTGTACAAGAATGTAAGAACTTTTGTATATATATAAAATTAAGTACACATTTCTTGGACACCATTGATGGCGTTATCTCTGAACTGTGCGATTTCTCACATTCCATTATATAATGACGCAAAGTATGTGGATAGTTCTGCTGATTTGAGTTTACATTGTCTGATTTACATCAGCAGATGATGCAAACTCCCAGAGGTACTTGTAGCCGAGCCTAAGCCTAGCAGTGGTAACATCTAGAAGTCATACAACCTTCTTGGATGGTCTATAGACGCGAGGTTCTAACTGCATAATAGAATGACGATAGATGGAGTTATTGGTGTGAATTTCACTTTGTCTCAAGTCTATTAGATTTTGCTATTCCCGAAACAGTACTACCCTCATGCTGCTCAAATGCAGTCAAAACAGGTAATAGATACCCTATTTACGAGCAAAAGGTTTGGCTAACTCATCAGTTCTATCGTGCATTCGGAGAGCAATATGGGGAGACATCCACAGAAGACAAACTTCGACTCATTATTTCATTATACTGTGCCTAGCCTCAGACATAAGCATGTCACACTGGGGGGAGTTGAGTGCAGTCAAGGATGACATGGAGCCACTTACAATTAGTGTCGAGTTTGAATTCATTTGCTCGTTCGGGTGCAAGGATTATGGCAAACTTCTGTAGTCAGTCTGTCTTCTCGTCTAATACGTCGCATTTTTCACAGACTCGGCCACTCCGTTGGAAATTTTGACGTAGAAGTTAAAACTAAAACCCTGTAATATGGAGGGATTCCAGGTATCGGTCTGGATAGGTTAGATGGGTTGCTCGGGTTCGCATTTTGCCTCGCCGAACCATCATGAGTGATGGTGGTTCAGCTGTTACCTTACGCGGGATGGTGGTAGCCCAGGCCCACTCCTTCCTGTCCAGCCTTCCTGGAAGAATTAGACTGACGGAACTGTTTGCTGTTCATGGCACTCCTCGTGTAGGCACTCCTCGTGTAGGCACTCCTCGTGTAGGCACTCCTCGTGTAGGCACTCCTCGTGTAGGCACTCCTCGTGTAGGCACTCCTCGTGTAGGCACTCCTCGTGTAGGCACTCCTCGTGTAGGCACTCCTCGTGTAGGCACTCCTGTAGGCACTTGTGTGCCACAATACCTTAAGAATCATGTGGAAACTCCTGGTAATGTGTGATTGACACTTTGAGTCGGTTGGATTGAATTCTTAAGTTTTGTTTCCTATAATAAAGTTTATTTTTTTCAGACTCTTGCTTCTCTGCGAACTCTGCGCTGTCCCATCTGAGTGCTGAAGTCTAAAGGTAAGTCTGACCCAAGTGTTGGTGCCTTAAGATGTCTTAACCTCCCGGGTGCTGGTGCCTTAATATGTCTTAACCTCCCGGGTGCTGGTGCCTTAAGATGTCTTAACCTCCCGGGTGCTGGTGCCTTAATATGTCTTAATTTGTGAGAGTCAGGATGCGCCACAAGCAGCGAGGTGTTAAGAGGCGGCCAGCAGGTGTTACCTGCGCCACCTGCTGGCCGCCATGCTTACTGCTTACGGCGTGGGGGGGGGGGGGGGGGGAGGGAGGGAGTTTGGAACGCGAGGAAAAGGCCATTGGGGACGGAGATGCCGGAGGGATTCCGGCTAGTGAGGGAGTGCGGAGGGATCCCGGCTAGTGAGGGAGTGCGGAGGGAGGGAAGACAAGGGAAGTAATACGTAGGGAAAGATGAAGAAGCAGGAGCAAAGGAGAGGAATAGGGGAGGACAAGACGATCATTTACTCCGAGTAAAGCAGTAAAGACGTTAATCATAACCCGCCCTGCTCATTCGGCACCGCTGAGGCTGCTATCTAAACATTCTTTAACACTTAAGTACATTTGAATCTCTTGAGTCTGTATACATACACACAGAGCCACACGTACGTATACCTGTGTATGTGCGTGCGCGCTCAGTGGTGTGGAGAGACAGACAGACAGAGACTCAGGGGCCAAGGTCTGCTGCAAAACTTTCCTCCTTTCCAAACAACTCTCCCGCCTACTGATCCTGCTTACCAGTATGCCTGTCCACCCGGCGTACCCACCCTCCTCCGTCCCAATCCTTATCCCTTCCCAGTGCTATATAGCCGCAATGGCCACGTTCTCCCAAAATTCTGTGCAACAATCCCTTGAATGCAACGCCATTTACGCATTACACCCACGCCGCTACTATATCAAACCATCTTTATATTTTATAATATATATATATATATATATATATATATATATATATATATATATATATATATATATATATATATATATATATATATATATATATATATATATATATATATATATATATATATAATATTGCATATTGTCCTGGGGACCATTCAGGCTTGTTCGCATATATATATATATATATATATATATATATATATATATATATATATATATATATATATATATATATATATATACTACCGTGTGTGTATAATACACACACGGTTGTTTTTGTAACTATGTTCACCATAGTACAAATATTGACGTACTAAGCAATTATATAGTAGAATTTGGTACTTATTCACTTCATAAGAGCCCGAAAAAAATGAAGCTAAAAAAACTTAAATATTCCTAGGCCTAGAATAACACATGTAGAATAACAGGCCTAGAATAACACACATTTTTTATTAGGCCTCATATATCGTGTATTAGGCCTAAGAAGGTTAGGTTAGTTTGTCTTTGCAACATAAATATAACATCTTTTTTCCGGTTTGTCCAAATTTAGTACCATCGAATTTCTACTTTCTAATTGCGTTGTACGTCGATATATGTACCACGGTCCTCGTCGTTAGTATAAGTACTACCAACACACAAATGACAGTTGAGAGGCGGGACCAAAGAACCAGAGCTCAACCCCCGCAAGCACAATTAGGCGAGTACAATTAGGCGAGTACAGGAGGATGGGCTGACTATAGCAACAAGATGTGACATAATTCATTCTTTGAACCCATGCTCATTACAGCCACATGCGTATAGAGTGACTCCCTTGACGAACGCGCTTTCGAATACAAATCAATGGGAACTGCTTTTAGATGGATTAAAACTGACGAAGTCCCTATTGACGCGCCGCCGTGTGTAGGAGGTGCTGAGGTTGTTGACCGCAATATTGAGACCACAGGGCGACGCCTAGTGTCTCTTCAAGGCGCTGGACGTATTTCTCTGCAGTTGCAAGAAATACGTCCTTGGAGATGTTTGTAGTGCGTGACTTGACGGAGCTGTTAGTGGTGTTCCGTAGGCCGTAGTCGATAAGCTTCAGGAGGGTGAAGGGGTTGGAGGAACACGTGTACGTACGTGTGTGTGTGTGTGTGTGTGTGTGTGTGTGTGTGTGTGTGTGTGTGTGTGTGTGTGTGTGTGTGTGTGTGTGTGTGTGTGTGTGTGTGTCGGTCGCCCCCCCCCCCCCGTGTCCTCGAGAAGACACCATGGGAGCCACAACAAAATATATTCGCGAGAAACTTGTAAAGAATTGTGGTTTTTCCACGAATGGTGCTATAATTAGTGCTTACCTTGAGATGGTTACTTTGATGGTTTCGGGGCTTAGCGTCCCCGCGGCCCGGTCCTCGACCAGGCCTCCTGAAGAAAATATTAATCAGTACAACAAGAATAGTGGACTAGAAGTTCAATAAGGCGAGCGAATTTTCGTTGTTAGAAATTCGCAATTGTGTGCGCTAGGCTTTGTACCATTCAAAAATGACACACTTGTATAATAGATTGAAGACAAAATGTACTTTTGCTGCTTCGAAAAGAAGGGCGAGTCGACCTAAATGACAAAATTTGATTCGCATGTTTACCAGAATTTACCTGATTTACGTGCAATCCAGTATTTAGTGACCAACGGGAACTGGAAGTCGGCGGTTTGTCAAATAGCCCAATGGTAATGTCATTACGACTTGAATGTAGCACGTTGGAGCATCTTGTAGGGAGGGAATCAACACAGAATCGTTGGTTGTTTTTTTCCTGGTGGAGTGTTTGTGTAGAGGTTGTTGTTATAGATTCAGCTACTCGGAACACGTTCTAAGTAGCACGGGCTATGGTGAGCCCGTAACTTACCAGGCACAGGGGCGGGGCAAGTAGCACGGGCTATGGTGAGCCCGTAGTGGACTTACCTGGCACAGTGTGTGTGTGTACCTGGCACAGTGTGTGTGTGTGTGTGTGTGTGGGTGGGGGGGGGTGGAGGGCGAGTAGGTGGACTTGTTCAGTCGTCCGCCAGACCTGCCCTCCCTCACGTGACGTCATGACCAGACAAACCGGTTTTTTTCCCTCGGCTGTTTTTTGTGATGTTTATTCTCTAGGTGGCGGTAGTGGTCCCAGGAGTACATGACTCTCCGGATTGAGTAGATTGTATACCATTTTACCCACCATCCGGCCTGATATTTGGAAGAGGCCGGCTTCCTTCATGACCCAGCAGAAGGAAGAGTAATAATTAATTATATTATATCAATAATTATAATAATTGTAGTAGTTAATAATTATTACTCTTCCTTCTGGTGGGTCATGAAGGAAGTGGACCTCGGGTGAAAGATCTGTGAGGATCTCTGTCAGGAACCCGTAGGTGCGGGACCTGGCCGTCCACCTCCTGGGGCTCGTGCGGCCCCCCAGGCTCTGCTTCAGGAGGCTGGGGTCGTTCTTGCCCTTGCTGGGGTGGTTCTTCTCCGGTCCCGACCACGGCGATCTCCGGGTTTGGCTTCCCTGTGCTTTTTTTTTTTACCAACCTCGAGGTCAACTCCGGAGCTGGAGCCCCTATTGCAGTTCGTCGTTGCCTTCAGCCTCGTTCTCATAGTTCCTGCGACGGCGCTGGAACCAATCGTATTGGCGTTTGCCTTTCCATTGGAAATTTTTGGCGCCGTGGAGAGGGGGGACCTGGTGCTTGGGTGACAGCTTCTTCGTATTAACCTACCCTGGCTTTGCGCCCTGGAGAGGCCACTCCAAACCGACAATCAGGGCGCAACTCCATAGTCTCCTGAGACTGATGGATGCCTCCTACTGCTATTATTTGGCAGTGGTTGACCTGTTGCTTGGCAGTGGTTGACCTGTTGCTTGGCAGTGGTTGACCTGTTGCTTGGCAGTGGTTGACCTGTTGCTTGGCAGTGGTTGACCTGTTGCTTGGCAGTGGTTGACCTGTTGCTTGGCAGTGGTTGACCTGTTGCTTGGCAGTGGGCGGGCCGTTAGTGGCCAAGTTAACCGCCTGGTCACTAAACCAACCGGATAGACCTAACTGTACTTAACCTGAGAATCACGCACTTGTTATTGCCGTGTCACAGTGGATCACCATTCATCACCTAGCTTGTATATGCCAGCATCATCCACGCTCTGTCGCGCTCCAAAATGATTACAATTTGCTGGTATTATGGCATATATATATGGCAACATTTTCGGTTGCCACCAGTGATGGAGGCACCCTGCCTCACCCTCACGCCATTACATACCGGCAGTACACGCCACACAGGGCCGGTAGCTAAATGGACAGCACGCTTGATACCTAGTCATGTTGACCGGGGTTCGATTCCGGGGGTCGGCAGAAACAAATGGGTAGTTTCTTTCATCCCCTGATGCCCCTGTTACCTAGCAGTAAATAGGTACCTGGGGGTTAGACAGCTGTTACGGGCTGCTTTGGGTGTGTGTAAGCGTGGGGAAAAAAATAGTAGTTAATAACAGTTGATTGATTGGTAGTTGAGAGGCGGGCCGAAAGGGCAGAGCTCAACCCCCGCAAGTACAACTAGGTGAGTACATGCAGGATGCGTGACGCCTCCCTCACGCGCACTCCGGCAAGTATTGCTGTCAACCAACCTGTCCTCTTGCATAAGTACACAGCATTTTGACGTCAAAATCCCAAACGGACAAAATATAACGTACTGAAAATCATAGCGGCTTACAAGCAACTATACCGTCTTCTGTGCGGCCATTGTTAAGTCCGGGCAATTTAATACATCATTTTTATCACGTGATAACTTGAGAGGATGGGCTGGTTGTCCAGCGTCGAGGAGAGGACGGGCTGGCTGTCCAGCGTCGAGGAGAGGACGGGCTGGTTGTCCAGCGTCGAGGAGTGGACGGGCTGGCTGTCCAGGGTCGAGGAGAGGACGGGCTGGTTGTCCAGCGTCGAGGAGAGGACGGGCTGGCTGTCCAGCGTCGAGGAGAGGACGGGCTGGCTGTCCAGCGTCGAGGAGAGGACGGGCTGGCTGTCCAGCGTCGAGGAGAGGACGGGCTGGCTGTCCAGCGTCGAGGAGAGGACGGGCTGGCTGTCCAGCGTCGAGGAGAGGACGGGCTGGCTGTCCAGCGTCGAGGAGAGGACGGGCTGGCTGTCCAGCGTCGAGGAGAGGACGGGCTGGCTGTCCAGCGTCGAGGAGAGGACGGGCTGGCTGTCCAGCGTCGAGGAGAGGACGGGCTGGCTGTCCAGCGTCGAGGAAAGACAGCTTGACGTCGTTTGTTACACAAGGTCGTCCTGGTCACACGATGCTCAACACTACATCAGATGCACTGTCATAGTGCTGTATAGTGACTGACAGGCGTACTGTGAAGCCACTCCTCCTAGACGTGAGGTTCAATCCAAGACATCACTAACTATGACAGTTTGGTGTCCACAGTGAACTTCCGAGTTGCGGAAGATTCTCATAAATTAAAGCTAAAATAAGAGGATTGTTTATGCCCTGTCACGCGTCCTCTATCCCCCCCCTCTCCAGGGCCGGACAGATAGGCCTAACATGGGCCGATATGTTAGGCTATTCAGATCAACCCGCTGTCTCCAGTTTCCACTCCGTTAAGAATACAACCGTTTTGCCCTAACCAGAAATGTACGAACCCAATCTACCCACCCAACCTGTCGAGGCCGATGCATTGAAAACGTCAGTATTAAAGAGTCGTTTATTTGTACTAATAGATCGTATTTTTATCGATTTAGTATATTATGTGAAAATGTGACTAGAGGACAAGTTATGATAGCGCAATTAGCCACGCGCAGAAAGGCTCCAATATACTTGTATATTTACCTTATACATAGTATTTGGGCTTTGGTATTGCGCTGGACTTAAGGCTTATCAATCTCTGGCAGGTCGGTTACAGAGGTCCCCGCAGAAAACTCATTGACCAGCCATTGAAGATGGTATACCTCAGTCTTAAATCATGTTAAGAGTAAACTGTATACACCACAAATGAGCGGAATGTATCCCTCGGGTAAGTTGGGGACACTGTTTAGCTGTCAAGAGTATTCCCAACCATTATCCTAGTGTGTGGCCTTGCCCCCTAGTGATACTTATCATCGTCAAGGGGCGGATACTGAAGCATTTTTTTATTATTATTATTATTTTCTACCACAGACGTGGCCACACATTTACAATGCTAACCAGCATATATACATTTTCTTCTGTCCTCCATGGACAGGGTTAAAGATGTGTTAAACATATAGTTCAAGGGTTTATTGAACAATCAACCACAGGTGATTCGGTGCTTTTAAAATGCTAAGCTAACCACTGAAGCATTCTTTATCACACGAAGGCCGTGCTCTGAATCCACTATAATATTAACTGCTTGTCAAATGGTTCTATTTGTTTTAATTTTTATATTGATAGCCTAATAATGACTTTTTTTTATTTTTGGAAGGAATTGCTACAATTTTTTTTTATAGATTCGTATGCAACAATGATCACATTTAAGTATGCGGAAAAATCACATTTGAAAAATTAGAGGATGCTGAATGGGATTTCGGCTTGATTCGCCTTCATTAGAGCAATATAGTCACACTATCTTGCTCTGATGAGGGCAAATTGAGCCGAAAACGGGTTCCGCATTCTCTAATCTTTCAAATGTGTTTTTTCCGCATAGATTCGCATGTTATGAGGCACAACAAAGGTGAATGGAATGGTCAAGTATTTCTACGTACCGGCAGCACGCAAAGCTGTGAAATTATTTTGAAGGTGGCAGAAAGTTAGAGAATTCGGAAGGGGGGTTTAAGAGACAAATGTGTCGTGAATTCACATGCTTCTTTCCCTCTTCAAGACATGTGGTCAAGAATGCAATGTGAATGCAGCCTCACAAAACTTGTTTCTCAAATGAGATAATATTAGACACATTTATGCCTATATTTAATTACGAATGCTCTTTGTTTCCGCAAAATGTTACAAAAAAAAAGTTTCACAGCTGTAACTTGTTGGAACATGGAACGTGATCATTTAGATCACCAGTACCGCGCTAAATTTCACAGATTTAACATAGTTTGACCAGTTTAACTCGTGAATAAATCCACAAGGGGCCGTGACGAGGATTCGAACCTGCGTTTGATGCATCACGCAATTGTGATTTATGTGTGTAAAGTTTAACTCGTCTTGCCAAATGCTAATGATCGGTCCATTAAGTTACCGTCAGCATCTGTAATATAGACGACACTAACAACCTAAATATATGGATATCCCTTCAAAATATAATATAGACTGAACTCTTCTTTCATTGGAATGAAAGTATAAATAATTGATAACATTGGTAAAAATAGAAGTAACCCAAGTTGTTATATGAAAGTAGGTGAAATAAATTGTCATCCACACTTCCGTAGACATACACATTCCAAATAAACAGATAGGGTTTCGGGGTCCGCGGTTCAAGTCTCCTACAGCCCAGGTGAATGAAAAGTAGGTTATGGTCACTGTATCTGGGCTCGGTTACATCGGGTTTCACATTACATAATATAAAAGAAACACTAAAGAAGGCCTATTTATACCTACCCAAACTCATTCATATGTATATACATGGCATAACCATATCATATCCACCCTATAATTAAAATAATCAGGCTATCTGAATCTATTGTCACCCTAAAGTTTTGGTCCATAGATCAACCATCCTGAGACTTTTCGTGATAGCCTCGCGAACAGCCTCTTACAATTTTCCACTGTCCACCACAACAGGATGACGACATATTTAGACAATATCCTTCATCCATACTGCAGCGCCCTCAGTTCGTCCAGTGCTTCATCCATGTTGAATCGTTCTCAGGTCAGCCAGCGCAAACATGCGCTGGTCAAGAATTGACAAGATAACCCCTAATGGCTACAGAAGGCTCCCTGGTATAGTCTAGGGTGGCAAAACCTAGCTTTCAAAACTAATTTTAATTACATTGCTTTTAAACTCAAAGTAATACATTTAATGTCAAGGAAACAGTCGAGTAAATCTATTTAGTGTGTTACCAGTAAGGTCTGTTTACCGCCGCGGCTGGCCGCCGGCAACATTTCTATAATAACGCAATGGAAAGGAATGCCAGTGAAGGCCAGATGGAAGAGAAGTGCTCGGCGGCTTGTTGACGGGGTGAAACGGCTTGTTGGGGAAGAGGAGCGACTTGGAACGGGAACAATGGTGGCATCAGTAGCAGTACAAACCTGTAATATTAGTCCCGCTATACACACAGAAGGCCGTAATTAGTCTGTGTAATGTAACACAATGTCTGGGCAATGTAACCCTAATTCTTGAACAGTGCAACGCTGGCCTTGGCAGCAAATGTGGCACATACCTCACATCAACAAGTAGTTTTATCAATCTTTTCATCGACACAACACGGCTAGATTAGCGTTTCATCATTCTCGCCTGGGCGCACAAAGACGGACGGGTTGGTGGTGGTCTGGTATTGGCCGGTTACGTGCTGGACAGGACTGGCTTCCTCGCCATGTGGTCAGTATCTTCCTGCAGTCCCTGGGAGTGTTGAATGCAAAACACAAGTGTACAGCCAACCATGAATTGAGGTCTCGGGGAGAGATAAATGTGTGTTTAAACTCGTGACTTTGCACTTAAATACCACAATCAATGTAACATTGCTTCATGAGTGCACAATATACATACCATGGACGAGAAATGGTTAATAACATTCTGAGCCAAAGGTTTTAACATATGCTGGTCGCTAGCGGCGCTCCGCTGGTCCGTCTGTATCAATACAGACTTCCCCATCCTGTAAAATGGTTTCATCCTAATATAAATGTTATTTTAATGCTGTATGAAGCATTCTCTTAGTTGAATTGAACTAGTAAATTTTCTGAGCCTTGGCTCCCGTCAAAAAGGAAAATTGTAAAGGCAGCATTCCACGAAAGGCAGAATTTGTCATTTCATGTCCGGCATCATTTCGGTGGTGCTGCAGGGTGAAGCACTTGACCCCATCGTTTGCTCGGGCAATAGCACAAGTTTTTATTTTAGGTGTATAACCGGAGGAACAACCACACGGCTTCATAATAAATTGTATACCTTAATGAGTATGTTTCAATACCATTTAGTAAGTGGTAAGACTTTACAAACGTTAATTCCTTGAATTAATCCCTAAAGGCGTCCTAGGCTAGACATACGTTAGTGAACTCGATTGATAGTGCACAAGGGCCTATGGCGCTCTTCGTGTATCCGGTAAAGACTTACTGGTGTGGATCTCCTGCAGTGAGCTGCTCTGTAGACAGATAGCAGTGTTCTTATGTGATTCTTGGGTGTTGGTGGAGCCAGGTCGAGCCTGGAGTGGCTAGTTAGGAAAATTCTGTACGGACGCTGAGGCGGACCTCTTGTTCGTGTGCTTGTTTTAGATTGTGAATTAAAATGTTATATTAAACATGTTCTAAAAAAAAAAACTGCCGGCATCTGCTGGTGTAAATCTGATGTATAGATACAAACAAGTCCAGTAGTTTTGGCAGCAACTAATAGTTTGCAAAGTAGCAGGCAAAACTAAGTTGGATTCAAGTTAAATCAACGTTAATAGCGCCTACACAACTTAAGTTGAATGTTCCAATATTGTTTAGTTGCTGGAACAAGTTCAAGTTGGTGTGAACTGGAGACCTTCAACTCCAGTTCAAACCAGTGTCATCAAGGTAACAAGAGTCGGCGACCATGTCGTCCTACCAAGTTTAAACCTCGATCATATGGTTCCCAAGTTTGTGTTCAATGTGTCACGTGTTGTCCGGTGTTATCCACCTGTCTAGTGAAACTGAAGCTGCATTCCGGGATAAGTTACTGTTCGCGCAAGTTGATTCAGCCGTGATGTTGTTGTTGTGGAGGGAAGTGTGAGATATCAAAGGGGGAACGTGTCGAATGAACAAATCCACAAGGGTCGTGACGGTGATTCGAACCTGCGTCTGCGAGCATCCCAGACGTGTCGAATGTTTGTGGCTGGATAACGCTTTATTAATATTCATTATATTCGGTATCATATGAATGAGGAAAGAGGGAGGTTATATATACGTGGGAGAGGAAGATAGGGACGCTGCTAGCTCTCGCTCGGCTTGAAGCATCGTCTTCCATCCACCTGGGAAGGTGCCTGCGTCAGTGTCATTAACTTGAAGAAAGCCTCTTATTCCCGTCTGGATTGTGAGTCACATTGAGTGTTGTCAGGAATACAAATTCCAATTGCCTCATTGTATTGCAATGGCGGAAACGGGAAGACACTGGTAAGTCCAACGGGAAGCAAGATAACTATCCCCGTGCATTGAAATCTCTTCCATAAGTGACGTTATTCTTTATTCTGCAGCCCCTTGCTCCATCATCCTGCATACAGTATGGGGTAATTGAAAACTTAATTTCTTTGTTAACTTTAAAGATAAAGTAATTGCAAATACGTTTCTGTAGTTCAGGAACGACAACAGTCGCCCTTTTGTCGTTCCTGGACGGCAACAGGGCGACTAATACAGTGTAATGAAGATAAGCTGTGCACAGACGCCTCGCTGTTGGACAAGTCTCTTGTGACTTGGACGCCACAACCTCTTCAGTCTTGAGCTCCCTCGTATCGGGGTGTTGCGTGACCTTCATGCAATCATACACGTCTCTGGCTCTCTCTCACACACGTATGACTTAGGAGCTGCAGCTCATAGCTTCAAGTATTTATCTTGTCTTCGCTCTGCATAAGTGGCGACGACGTGGACAGTATAGGAAAGGTTTCTCATACTTGGATACGGTATTCTGTTATTAAGCCTCGCTTCACAGGTTTACATTATAATGAGTACCACCATCTGGTAGATACAGGATATAAGGGGTGATGCGGAAGTCAAGAGGGTGGAGTTCCTCAAGGGTTTTGTGGGATGGGTGTTTGTGTGTGGGGGGGGATGAGACGGGGGGGGAGTTCACGACGCCCCGCTACTGCCACAAAGACATTACTACCGCAATGATACGTGCGCTGTGCTCTGTATAGTTTTCAATGCTGCGGGATGACTCGACACACGCAGACCCCGGGAAAGGTCTATTAATATCACAAGCAGCGTTCTCGCCACGCATGGTGAGAGCGGAGGGGAGCAGACACGCACGCACACGCGCACGCACACGGGAGTGTAAACTAATGCAAAAATTAAATTGTCATCCATACTTCCGTGGTAATAAATAAACATTGCATTCACCTGGGCTCTAGGAGACTCGAACCGCTGATATGACCTAGAGTTGATATGTGTCAAGTTGATATTCGAAAAGGTTCTAGATTAAAGTATGACAGGAAATAGAGCAACAGTGCTAGTACGCTGACCGCGCTGCTAGCATCGTAGCCGTGGCTGGTGAGGGTGTGGCAGAAAGTGGTGCTGTTGTTTAAGATTCAGCTACTGGGAACAAAGTTCTAAGTAGCACGGGCTATGGAGAGCCCGTAGTGGACTCACCTGGCACAGGAGCGGGGCTGATGTGTGCAGAAAGTGCTGTATTGTCACCAGGTGTTGATGGGAACACTTGTACGTGACCCGAGTTTGACCCCTAGGGCAGGGTTGGATGACCTCATACCGTTACTTGACAGTTCACTCCTATGCACCCAGCAGTAATTGAAGGACCTGAATGTAAAAGGATTGGTAAGTGATGCTGCTTTGGAGACACGACGCTGAATAACCAAACCGGTTTGAGTGCTTGGCCGTAATCCCAGCACAAAAAGGTATCTCCTGGTACAGTTTAATGAAAAAGTGGCTGAAATTGAAATAAGTTTATTGAGGTGAAATACACACAAAGGGATGAGGTAGCTCAAGCTATTCTCACCCCGTTCAGTACAACGTGTTAGTACATACATACACACATCACAAACAATAAACCTGTTACCAAACATTCTGAGAGATAAACATGTACATTTCCTCCTTGAAAAAGTGTCTCCTGGTAGTCTTACTCTCGCCTATGGCCGTATGGAAAGTGAATGCTGGATTAGAAAGTCCTAATCACATGTTTTAAGACACAAACGAACGTATATATTTTATTACATAGTTCATCTTAAATGAAGCCTATATTGCAAAAAAAATCAAATGCTGGCATATGAGGCTAGTGAGACTATTTTTGTTGCTATTGCTGCTGTTTCTGATGCCCCTGCCACCACCCTGGCATGATTACATCAGTAACGAAACTGAAACAATTATTTACAGACGAGGAGTCACAATAACATGGCTGAAATATGTTGACCAAACCACACACTAGAAAGTGAAGGGACGACGACGTTTCGGTCCGTCCTGGACCATTCTCAAGTCGATTGTGGTCCAGGAATGGTCCAAGAATGATCCAGGACGGACCGAAACGTCGTCGTCCCTTCACTTTCTAGTGTGTGGTTTGGTGAAACAATTATACTTGCCTGTCGGTCAGCAAGCCACCTCTTGTGGTGGCTAAAACTAAAGGGAAGGGGACTTAAGGACACTTATTATCTGCATTCCATTGTCTTTTTGATTGTTGCCGCCGAAGGCGGCTAGTTTATTGTGCACCCCATACTCATCCTGTGAGCGGTAGCGCCATTGTCTGTGGTATGGAAACCCGTCTTCGCAAAACAGTTCCATTGCTTGTTCGTATGTTTGTTTATTTACTGTTTGGTTAATTATGCACGATGATCTGGATGCCTGTGTTTTATAGGTATGTGAATGTGAACGTTAACTAACGTAAATATAAAGCAACAGTTGTTGGAACACTTTCTCTCCATATACAGATATATACATATATAACATGTATATATCTGTTGTTTACACTTTCTAAAATCTCTCTGAATACCCTCTCCATCTCCTGATCTTCAGCGTAGTAACGATATAACTTAATAAATGGTTAAGATTCTAAATAATGATTCTGTAATTTCGAAGTTCCGTAATATTCCATAATAGCAGACTGGTGAACTTCGGGATACGAACCCCCGTGACTTGAGTGAGGTGATGCCTGGACCTATAGTGTCTGGAGGTCACATTGTCCGGCTTATTGACCTCTCTTATCAAAGTCTTCCATAATATATTCTTGAGTGAATACCCAAATTGAAAACTGTGATAATTCACTATTTTGGTGTGGAAACTTTGCCTATATACGCCCATAAATTTATTTTTTACCCTGCTAATCCTTTGCCCTTTGAAGCGTTTCAATATCTCACCCTGTCCATGGAAGACAGAAGAAAATGTATACATGCTAGCTAGCATTGTAAATGTGTGGCCACGTCTGTGGTAGAAAATAATAACAAAAGCGTTTCAATGCCATTTGTCTATAGCCTATTAATTTCGATTAAATTCTCGAATACTTTCCACCCGTAAAGTCTAAACATTTTCTTTTTTTCCAGCATTTGCTCAGGTAAAATGGGGAAAGAAAAGACGAAGGAGGTGACGTCAGTGGAGACACTGGAAGATGAGGGAGAGGAAGCGAGAGGGACCTGGTCAAACCAATGTGAGTTCTTCTTGTCGTGTCTGGGCTACGCTGTAGGCTTCGGCAACGTCTGGAGGTTCCCTTACCTCTGCTACAAGAACGGCGGGGGTGAGTAACCATGTACCTCATCGTTACTGGGGCCCTCGCCACCATTACCCGTTTTTAAATAACCCAACAAACTCTTGAAATTAAACAAAAATGACAACGTTTCGGTCCGTGCTGGATCGTTATTGTCGTGATAGCATGGATTTTTTAGACGCATTATTGTGCATTATCTGCATATCTAATTCAAATTTTGCACTATATAATGAAAGTCTTCGCGTTATGCTGGCATTATAACTTTATGTAATTAATATATTGTAATTTCATGTAAATTTAACCAAGTATAATCAGTTATGAATAATGCTTTTGATTTTATTGTTTTTATACATGTTCTGAGATATCAGTGAGTCATAATAATAGCTTTGAATTGTTCTTAAAGTAAGCTAGATTGATTGACAGCAAGTTAGGGTATTAAATTTGGTGACTTATGATCAGATATTCGTGGAAAGCTTGATTTCAAGACTAATTATAAGTTGCATATAATATGGGAAAGCCTAGCAAACACAGCTTCATGCTCTTCCAAGGAATTAGTGTGCAGCATAACAATTAGTTTCTAACTAGAGGATAATCCAAATACATAAATTTGAATAGATAAACTTGCAAAGGTTAATGTTAGCAATCATTTTTAAAGTAGATTTTAAATGTCTGCTAATTGTTGAATGATATATATATATATATATATATATATATATATATATATATATATATATATATATATATATATATATATATATATATATATATATATATATATATATAATTTGCGTATATGTAATGTTTGTTTGCTGTCTTCGGCGTGTGTTCTGTTCTTAATGGTTGTTCTCTCTCCACAGCGGCGTTCCTAATCCCCTACACACTAATGTTACTGTTCGCTGGTCTACCTCTGTTCTTCCTGGAGCTCGCCCTCGGCCAGTATGTCAGCCTCGGACCCAACATTCTTTTCCCAAAGTTGGTTCCTCTCTTCGCTGGTAAGTTTCAATTTGAATTTTGTATTTTGAATGCGAATTATTTTTAGAAAGATTTTAAATTTTAAAGGTAGCTTGAGCTACTTCATCCCTTTGTGTGTGTTTATACTTCAATAAACCTATTTCAATCGGGAGAAAGCGCCAAGAAATTACAATATAGCACTTGGAAAGGGAAAAGATAAGGATTATGGAAGGGACGGGGGAGGGGGGTGTGTTGCCCAACCACTTGGACAGTCGGGGATTTAACACAGATTTGCATGAAGCGAGACCGGCGCTCTACCGTCCAGCCCAAGTGATTGGTGCGGGGCCCGAAGCCTCGGGCTGGTCAATGGGATTATTCATTTCAGTCTTGTATAGGCGGTTTGACTCGTATATTGACACCAGTAAAGTTATGTCAGATATGTTTAACGACTGCTTCTGCGCTGTTAAATCTCAACGGTGATCTGATATGGTTTATAAACTATGCTAATTGTTGTTGTTGTTGTTCTTCCCCAGGACTGGGCTGGGCCATGGTGATACTGTCAGCGTTGGTAGCCATCTACTACAACGTCATCCTGGCCTGGACGTTCTTCTACACCTTCGCCTCCTTCACTTCCAGTCTGCCCTGGGGAAGCTGCAGCAATTATTTTAATTCTCTCAGTAAGGTCATACATGTTCTTGCGTGCGGTACCTAATGGAGCTTTATAAAATGTTTTCAAGTGTGTTACGAATAATCAAGCTGATATGTGAGTTCTGTCCAAACCATACACCTGGACTTTAATAATGCATTCAGAATAGTGCGAAAGACCTGGTGCAATTCAATTTTTTACTGATGTATTCATCAGTAAAAAATCTTCACTGATGTATTTATGTAAAAATTTGATATACTGTATATACTGTACAGGAAGATGGGTGTTCACGTGACACCTTTAAGCTACGAATCACAGCATTATTTATATACACAAAGTTTAGGCTATATTAACTTGTATAATGTATGAAACAACAATACGTGGTGGATGTACATTGAATTTTGTTTATCAGCAGTTATATTGTATATTTTGCACAACTATTGCTGTGATTCGAAGCCTCGTAAGGTTCCATGTAGGAAATATAATGCCGAATTAGAATACAACGCAAATAGATTCAAATACTGTACTTAAATACTACTGTTGACCAGACCACACACTAGAAGGTGAAGGGACGACGACGACGTTTCGGTTCGTCCTGGACCATTTTCAAGTCGACAATCGACTTGAGAATGGTCCAGGACGGACCGAAACGTCGTCGTCCCTTCACCTTCTAGTGTGTGGTCTGGTTAACATACTTCAGCCACGTTGTGACTCATCGCCTGCTTAAATACTACTGACAATTACTTCCAGACTGCTTCACCGAGGACCTTGCCGGTGCCTGCAGGAACCAGTCTCTCTACTACTACAACAAGAGCTGCGTTAGCGTCCAGGAGTACTGCAGCGTTGCCAAGCTAGACGCCTTGAACGAGACTCACTGTAAGAGCCCAAACAACGATACCGGCAGCACGTTAGCTGACGGCGCCGTTACTAGAATCTCGGCAAGCGAGGACTACTTCAGGTAAGCTTTAATATACTTAAGTATAACTTGCTTAGCTACCTGAGCCCATTATGTGCCTCTGTCGTCCTTTCCTCTACCGCTGGTTAGGTATGGGGTCCATAATCAATTAAACTATATAAGGTCTATGTGAAGGATGTCAAATTTGTTTATATATGAACTTAGTTGTAGATAATATTTGTTGGGTTTGGTTTTTGACTCGAGGCTTATCAATGCTGGAGAATTGGGAAATAAGAAACGATAATGTGCAGTCTACACCTGGCTACATAAAGTCAGCAAACAGCAAGCTTGAAGACAGCGTCTCGAGAGGATTTGGTCTTGCTAAGCGAAAAGCTTTTCAGCCTTTTTCACATTGTACATTGCAGTATTCGAAGTCTTGAAGCTTGCTTAATTTATGTTCTTGAAAGACAACGTTAATTTTATATTTGTTACATTTCAGGAACCGCATGTTAGGGGTGTCCGGTCGGACGTGGGAGGACATGGGAGGGATGAATTGGGAGCTGGTGGGATGTCTGGCCCTGGCCTGGGTGTTGGTGTTCGCTTGCTTGATCAAGGGCGTCAAGAGCTCGGGAAAGGTGGTCTACTTCACCGCTCTCTTCCCCTACGCTGTCCTCTTCATTCTCTTCATTAGAGGTGAGAATAATGAACTCTTTTTATTTAATTAGTTTATTAAGGCCCTTTTATACTTACGCGCTTGGCAAGTGCTCGTGTTTCCGGAAACAGCTTCTAAAACGCCTTATTGGCCTGTTATCCTACTTTAACTACAGGATTAATTACAGTTTAAAAGACGAAAACACCAGTTTACTCTGTGGTAAGTACAAATAAAAATTTAAATAAAGTACAGACTGTAATAATTAAAAGTTTATGGGCTTCTGACCACTGACACACGTTATACAAGAGTACATTCTTGTATATACGCGTAGCGTTTCGGGCAAGTCCTTAATCCTATATGGTCTTATTACTAAATCAGTAAATCATTGACATATACCAGTCTAAATAGGAACACCTAGACACAATCAAACAACACTAGTACTTAACTCAATAACGCATCCAGTCTCCAACACCAGCCTGCAACCGACCCACATTAGCTCAGACTGACTGCTGCTCTCCCCCTCAGACAACTGCAGCCTCACTCCACATAAATATAATCCTACAAGCCACCCTTCCACACAGATACACACTGCCATACATTTATAAACGTAGGTATATAATACACAAGGCATTTATTTATTTATTTATATATATACAAGAAGGTACATTGGGATTGTGAGGATATATAGCATAGTAATTACATTTTTGTAAAGCCACTAGTACACGCAGCGTTTCGGGCAGGTCCTTAATCTAAGAAACTTAAAAGTAGAAACTTATAAGCATTCTGGAACATAAGTATATAATACACAAGGCATTCTGGAACAACTATCTTCTGTTTAACGCAACAGTAAAATGTGTACTTGGATGAAAAAACGATTCTTCGCGGCAGGGGATCGTATTCCAAAGACCTGCCCGAAACGCTACGCGTACTAGTGGCTGTACAAGAATGTAACAACTCTTGTATATATCTCAAAAAAAAAAAAAAAACATTCTTCTTCTTACTCTGAAAATAAGAATCATTCAGTGACGTACTAGCTGGTATCATTGACGCTTCACGCAAACTGAGCTTGACAAATACCTGTCCAACACAGGAATTGAACTACAATTAGCGTTAAGTTTAGCAACTTAAATTTCATATGATATTTGCCTGTCGTGTACCCCCCCCCCCCCCCACACACAGTGACTGAAATGGGTTTCTTTTGTGAACACGGACCCGCAACGCTCTCCATTTTTTGGAATCGGGAAAACGTAGCCAGATTTGTACAATCGACGTGCACAGATATTAATGTTTTCGTATTACAAGAGCCTAACCTCAATAAGCCTGTAACTATTTAATTAACACTGGCCATCAAGTTATTATTCAAACTATTCACAAGTTATCCCTGAGTGAGCTTCGTTTTCTGTAACAATTCACTCTCAAGATAATCAGAACATGGATTTGGAAGTGCTGAGAGTGAGTTAGCCTGATTATAATTCAAACACAAACTCAGGGTTGATCACGTGGATGACATTAGATAAGTGAGAAATAAAAGCAAATATAAGGTATTTAAATACATGAAATCGATGTAAATATTAGACAAAAAGGTCTACTGTAGATTCCTTCCATAAAAATTTAAATTAGCTAAATAAATTTTTGAAGTTCAGTCCCTGTGTTCATTATTTATCATACATGGAATCAGGAGAGAACATGAAATGTAAGGCTGATCTGTTAGTGTTAGATATAGTGTTGGAGAGTATGTCCCAGCTCTTGTTCACATAGTTTACAATTGGAATGTTCACCATTGGGGGATTCATTACCTGCAGCCACCTGCCATAGATAGCGATGCCCCAGCCAGTGGGTGGTAGTGGGTAAGGCTTGAGGCCTTTCATTTCAATTGTCAACTATGTGAACAAGAGCTGGGACATACTCTCCAACACTATATCTGTGATTGCTCTGTTACCATTTGGTCTGAAATCACTGATATGGGATACTTTGAGCTCTGTAACTAATTCATACTCTTGGGTATATTGGAAGATATTCTTGTGCTGTACGCAGATTTTGCTAGTGGAGGCTAGATCAGCCTTGCATTTCATGTTTTCTCCTAATTACATGTTTGATTAACTATCCTGTGATATGGGGATATTAGATGAACTAATAGCTAGTTTTTTTATCTGCACTGTGTAATTTGGCATACAGAACTGGGTAGCAGCACATTGCCGTGTATACCTAAACATGTTAATACAGCAACAACACAAAATTGATGGGTGTGAAGACATAGTGCATAATAAATGAACGAAACTAAAGTTAGTGGCTTTGCACGAATGTACCATTTAATCAACATATGTACTCTCACAGCCCATTGTACCTCCTTTGTGTACTCGCCGAGTGGTGAGTACACAACATTGTGTGTGTAATCAATAAAATGAAATGAAAAATATCAACTATCGACGCGACACCAGCGAGATGTCAAATTAGTCTTCCCTTATATCCAGCTATATTTAAAAGAAAACGTTAGTAGGGGTAACTTTGGTACCTGAAAATAATATGAATTTGTAATTTTTTTTATGTATATTCAAGAGTTCTTAGATTCTTGTAGAGCCTTGTACTGTATCTTATACTAGCACGCGTAGCGTTTCGGGCAAGTCCTTGATACTAATGCTCCCAGGAATACGACCCCGCCAAATCGTTTAACAAACAGGTGCCCATTTTACTGTTGAGTAAACAGAGGCTACAGCTAAGGATTTTCGCCCAGTCAATCTCCCCCGGCCAGGATACGAACCCAGGACAAAGCGCTCGCGAAACGTTGTTTTTGTTATAGATTCAGCTACTCGGAACAAGTTCCAAGTAGCACGGGCTATGGTGAGCCCGTAGTGGGCTCACCATAGCCCAGGACAGGGACTTCCTGGGACAGGAGCGGTAGCTCGCGAAACGCCAAGCGAGCGTCTTATCCACTACTACACCATGGGGACTTATAATACTGTACTGTATATGTATATTAAATGTCATGGTACATATAGCTACTGTGGCTGGGTGGAATGTACAGCATATTGACCGTTGTACTCAATATGGTGGTAATGTTATATTCATTTCAATCTAAAGCCTAGTTTGTAGAATAGTTTATTTACAAAAGACTTATGATATAATTTAATTAAAACGTTGCCATTTTTATTTTCTCATAATGTTTTCTTTGACAGGTGTCACCTTGAAGGGCGCCTACACTGGTATTGAATTTTACATCCTGAAGCCGAACATGACCAAACTGACGGAGATTGACGTGTGGAATGATGCAGCCACTCAGATCTTCTACTCCCTGGGCTCTGGATTTGGTGGTCTGATTACACTAGCATCGTACAACAAGTTCAAGAACAACTGCATGCGGTTAGTGTATTTCCGTCTTATTACTCAAAAAAATGGTTGTGTAGCCTAGTAGTCTACGTTCTCGATTTTGTCAAGTCCCGGGATCATTCTTTTGGGCAGGACAGAAACGGTTCGGCACGTTTCATGTCGCCTGATGATTTTCGTTTGACTTGCAATTCATTGTGAACAAAATTAAAGTTAGTGACTTTGCACGAATGTACCATTTGGACAGGTAGCCTGTCAGTTTATACATATAATATAAATGGTTGAAACACTGGCCACAGCCTTCTTTATATCCAGGTAACACCCCCCCCCCTTCCAGGGTCGAATTACTGACCCTCCCTAAGATGGAACCCCACCAATAAGCTGACTAACTCCTAGGTACCTATTTATTGCTAGTTGAACATAGCATTAGGTTATAGGAAGCGCCCAACCATTTCTGTCTCGCCCGGGATTCGAACCCGGAATTCTAGATTGTTAGTCAATAACGAAGCAGACAGTAGTACCGGGACCCTTGGAGTGGCTTGTAATAAAGTCACGTTAGGGATACTTTAATGTTTTCCTTTCCTCTCAACAGAGATGCAATTATCATTGCCTTCGCCAACTGTTCTACGTCGGTGTTTGCTGGCTTTGTGATCTTCAGCATCCTGGGATTCTTGGCAACGGAGCTTGGAGTTGAAGTGAAGGATGTGGTGTCTTCGGGCTCCGGCCTGGCGTTCGTCGTGTACCCGGCAGCCGTCACCCACTTGCCTGTATCGCCCGTCTGGGCTCTCCTCTTTTTCGCCATGCTCATCACTCTCGGGCTCGACTCCCAGGTTTGTTGAAACCTATCAAAAATGGTCAACTGACTGTATGCCACTGGACTTTTGCAGTGTCCATGCTTTACTTCGCCATCCTCCTATTTCCCCACACCTTCCTTCTCACTCTTTCTTGAAATGAAACTTCGTTCCTTTCATGCACATGGATCAAATTATTTATTGTAGGCTTGACTTGCATATATATTTAAATGACTGTGATTATATGTAGCTTCCTGTACAGCAAGTTAAACCCTGCTTCTCTCGTGCTATTTCAGTTCACAATGGTTGAGACCCTGGCCACAGCCTTCTTTGACCAATTTGAATGGTTGCGAACCAAAAAACCTATGGTAGTAGGATCCTTGTGTATTATTTTGTTCCTGTGTGGCCTCACTATGTGCCTGGATGGTGGCATCTACATGTTTGAGCTCTTCAACTGGTACTCTGCCGGGATCTCAGTCATCATCGTCACCATTTTAGAACTCGTAGTCGTCATGTATATTTACGGTAAGTAAATGAGAAAGTCACATCGTACACAACTATTCGCGAACGGATTTTCAAAACCTAAAACCTGCTTTGCTTTAACCAACCAATGTAGCCTAACTCAACCGAACCTAACGCAGCCTAATCTAAGCTAATTCATCTTAACCAAACGATATACAAGATTTTTTTACTATAGGAAAACAAGCTTTGTCGAACTGTCTTGTGTTTCACCATAATCAAATGAGATTTAGGTAATCTATATTACTCTCAATAGTCCATTTAAATTGTCTGCAACGGATGGTGTGATTTATGGAAATTTATTTACCGGCTTTCCAACAGGATTCAAGAACTTCATGAGAAATATCCGTGAAGAAATGGGTATATATATGCCTCTACCGTTGTATATCTACTGGTCAGCTACCTGGCTGGTCATCACTCCGGTATCTCTTGCTGTAAGTCATCAGGGGTTATATAAAGAGTTTTTCATTACATAGTATCTTGGCAGGGATATATACACAAAGGTCTAACCCACTTCTTGTGCATGTACACTGATAGTTTGTTAGTTAGGGGACTTGTTCAGGACGAAAGTATTCTTGCTGGTTGGTCAGTAAGCAACTGGGGTGGCGTTAAACTCAACAACAAATCATTATCTTGACAGAAGATTTCATATGCTTGCTCTTTTACGTTTGAAACAAAATTTAAATTAAATTAAATGTTTAAAATAGAACGTTGAAAGAAATTGTTGACAAGTTTTGTGGTCCCCATAATAAAAACACAAATTTAACTATAAACTTCATTTATAATAAGATTTAGAAATAAATATGCATTCATTACTGAATTTACACATTTTTGTCCCTAGGTTATCTTGGTTTTGTCAATTTACTACTATACTCCAGCCAATTTTGGGACGTACGTATACCCTGAAAATATCCAAACTCTGGGTTGGTTCATCTGTGCATCCTCACTCATTTTCATCCCGCTGGGAGTGATCTATGTCCTGGCAAAAAGAGATAAGAGAGGCAAGGAGCTACTCACAGCATCGCCAGATTTCTGCCCTCATCACGTGAGGAAAGCCCGCGAGGCGCAGGCTGGTGCCTTCAAGGGCCAGCCAGTTGGTGTGTTCAGATACACGTATGATAATGACGGCTTCCAGGAACCCAACGCTAAGGTTAGTGTATTTGAATACATTTTATAAATATAGACGTGTTAGTAAATGTGCAATTGTTCATGAATGCTTTATCTTTTGAGTTGGTGGGTTCGTACGAACGTGTACGAACGCTTATTTGTGTTTGCGGGGATTGAACTTCAAACCTCGGGATTCCGTTTGTCCCCCTATTGACTGGTGTACAAGGCATTCTACTTATTATCGACACTGGAAAATGTCTTATATTCTTGTAGCCCACTTGAGTACTCAGTTTTCACCTGTTACCTCATTCGTTGCCTTTCCTTGTCAAAAGCGCCGATTTAGCTGAGTATTTTTCACGTTTTGAATGTTTCCTCTCGGTAACATTAGATTTAGATCCGAAAATGTTTCCACGTTACTCGTGCTTCAATTATAATATTTTGATGACGTACATCTGGATTTGTCTAGCTTCGTTTTGTTTAAGAGAATATAGAACCTGTGTGGCGCAGCATATTTGGTATACAGGCTCCCGTAATGACTCTTAACAAGATTTGCAAAATCTGACCCCACCCTGTTATGACCCGCTCTGGTCATAACAATGATTTAGACTGCATGATTTTTTCATTTGTTTTAATAAGTTTGAGACTCTTTGAATTACGTATTATATGCGCAGTATATGTAGTAAGTGTAGGTGTGTTATCGATGAGTGATGGTTGTTTCTGTGTGATGTATTAAAATTGTGTATTAATGCGTAATCATGCTTTGGGTTTCAGGTATATCCATCACTTGAAGACGACAACCCTCCCCCGTACTCCAGAGATCCCAGCTACGCCAACCACATGTAGAGCAAAACATTAAACTTATCTCTTGGTTGAAGATCCTGAATGTGATATGACCCCTGTATAACAAAACACACAAGGTTTAGGGGGAAATATATTAGTTTCATCGGGTTACTTACGTGTATACTATGGTCACTTCATAAGGAATCTTGACTATGTCAAATGTGTGAGACCAGTATATTAACATATCTCCTACCTGTTAGTTCCCTATTCGTGCTAAGTGATGTTTTCTCGTGTAAAATAATAAAAAAATGTTATGCTGTGTAATATATATAATATATATATATATATATATATATATATATATATATATATATATATATATATATATATATATATATATATATATATATATATATATCTCCTGTACATAAATAAGCTAAGCCATTTTAGAATCCCATATTTTCATAATTCATTTTAGTGTGTAATTTTGTATTTACAGGATGTTTTTTTAGAATATTAAATATTTTTCAAACAATGAAACGAAAGTCCACTGATGACACAGCCTTTAATTGTCCAAGTCTGACGACATAGCTTGTATGGTATTATTTGACAAGTGATTGTCATCTTCATCCGTCTTGATGTCCCATGTTATAACAGAATGAATGGTTCTTCAGTAATTTTAATTTTGTTCTCAGTAAAATATATTTTGGAACCTGAATGTTCTGAAGCCTAGCAGAATGTTCTGAAGCTTAGCAGAATGAATGTCGTCATTCCTGCATGTGCTAGGATAGCGTATCAGTCCTGATAATATCACGTCTTCATGTTTTCAATATTAATGTGTTGCGATTTTGTGAAATAATATTTTAACGAAGACTTCAGTTAATGCTACTCTGAAAACAACATAAGGAACATTGTACCGTCATTTGCTCATATTTTATGACTTCGAAGGCTTTTACAACTGATAACTTCTTCATTTTGTAAATATTTTGGGCAGGCTTTCAAGGTACACAATCAAATTTTAAAACAATAAAAACAATACTGTGGTCTTTAAGTTTTCACTTTCGTCAGGACTGAGTTCCATGTAATCACTAATTTACACACACACACACAAATAATTTTATATAATATATATATATATATATATATATATATATATATATATATATAACATGCACTAGGTCACATCAAGCATATTTACATGTGTGTAGAGAATGTGTTGGCATGTGTGGGATAGCATGTTCTTGTTCACAGTATAACTGGTAACTATGTAAATACAATTAATATTTTATCCTATATTTTTAATTCTTTTGTTTTAAATTTGTGTAAGGTGGTGTGGAGCACCAAACGTTGTATGCATATGAAAATACAATTATTTTATATTATATTAGTAGCTTGAATTTATCCTTGTATTATGCTTGCGTGTGATTGGATACATTTACATGGGTGGATATGCGTATGGGGTATACATGTGATTGTTTGTATATACTCCATGCAAGCCCCACCACCATTGTTTGTGGGGGGCTTGCATGCGTGATCATGTTTGTGCGCGTGATTGCGTTTGTGGGAATGTACATTATATGAGCATCCAAGTGAAGCCCTCCTGTCTCCGTGATAAATGATGAACGACTTTGATTAATAGCCGTAAGGCCCGATTTTTAATCGCGACTGGAGCAGAAAAAAAGTAGCCTAAATAATGAACACAAATCACAAAGGCGTGATTCATTGAGAAAATCATTCGAGGCAAAGAGGTGACTTGAGCCAGCGAGCGTCTGGGGGGTCACTAGAAGACAAGTCACCTCAAATGATTTTCTCTTATTATTATTATTATTATTATTATTATTATTATTATTATTATTATTATTATTATTATTATAAGTGGCTCTTGGAACGGCTAAAGCAGTGCTGCCAACCGCCAGGCTTTGGGTACTGTGCAGCGCTTTGTGAAAATGTTAAATGTAACATACTGAGGAAACGGCTGAAAGCTCATAATGTACAACAGACAATAGAAGTTTTTTTCACCTTTTGGGTTATAAACCCCAAGCCACCTGTCTCTTTTTAATAGTACATCGTATTTTGACGTATAAATCCCCTAAGACCAAAAACAAAGCAAATTTGGTACGTGAGTTAAGTGACGTTGTGAACGCTCGAGATACAATATGGTTCACAACTGTTCCAAATCCAGCGAGATAAAATCCTCAGGGACAAACGGCTGTCTTCCTGTCATTGTTGAGGTCACTTAGATAGTGATCTTAGAGTAAACTGAGGCAACTCCCTTTCTGTTCGATAACTTGGGCAGGCCTCCCGGCACCACATTATGTCAGCACAGGTGCACATGTTGACGGCTAGTTCAGTAGCTGCACCTGCTCGTTCCCGATAGGTCAGTAAACAGGCATTTTTTCTGTTTTAGATTTAGCTTTTCGGAACAAAAGTTCTAAGTTGCACTGGCTATGGTGAGCCCGTAGTGGAGGCTCTTTGGAGCCATTATCTGTATCAATAGCAGATACAAGAGATCTGGAAATGGATGGGGGTTTTCATGGTGGATTTCAGCCTCGGAGGGCTGACTGTACCAGTTATGGAGCTGGTGGGGTTCGTGTAGACCTCTTTTTAGGTCTTCCGTTTTTTCTTTGGCTGAGCCGTGCTGTCGTTGGAGTTTGGTGAGGTCGCCTCCATGGGGAGGTCTTGTACCGATGTGGTGGAGGTAAGGTGGGAATTATTTGGGGAAAGCGCCAAATCGTTACGACTATATAGCACTTGGAAGAAACGAAGGGAGGGAATTATCAGGGGACATTGTGGTGTGTCGGTGGAGCTCCTACTAAGATTTCCTCGTCCAAGGAGTCCGTAGCATCCATAGTTGGTGTTTTCGTCTTTCGTCTCGCAGCCTGAGGTAGGCTCAGGTGTCGTGGATTAGGGGTAGAAACTATTTCAGGAGCGTTGGTGGTGCTGATAGTGTTTGCAGACAGCACGTCTGCTAGCGCGTCTGCTGAGATGGTGATGGTAGGAGTGTTGAGAACTGGTGCGGGAAATATCTCTGTACCGCCCGGGTCTTGGGTGGTTCTAGAGTCTGTGTTGAAATCAACCTTGTGGTCGTCCTGGTGGTAGTCTCCGGAGTGGTAGTGAAGGCAGTGAGACATGTGCCAGGGGCTATAATGGGTCTAGGCCATTGGCTACGTATAATGCGTTCAGTTCACTGACAAAACAGTGGTTGTCTGGTCCGGCAAGCCTCTCCGCTAGTCTAATAAGACCAGGGATAATGCCTGCACGTGATGCAGGGGGCTGCGAAGGAGCCTGTGGGGCCTTGAGTCCCCATTGTGAAGGCTGGGTCACCTGGGAAGGAGCCACTATTTGGTAAGATTGGAAAGTCTTCTGGTCGGTTGGTGGGAGCTGAGGTGGTGGGTTGAGCGCCTGGGGCTCTGGTCGAGGAGGTAGAAGGGTTGTTTCTCTTGGCTTCAACCTGGGCCTTGTTTTCCTGACTGCGGAGGCAGCGGTAGGAAATTGCGGGATGATTGCCATCACAGAGCAAGCAGCGATGGACTGTTGTTGCATATGGAGTAATGATGGTCCAGTGCACACTGGCTGCACTTCTGGACTTGGTGCTGACACTTGGGGGGGGGGGGAGGGAGAGCGCCTTACAGCTGGATAGACAGCGCTTCGGATTCATTGTCCTGAGGTTCCGGGTTCTATCCCCGGTGGAGGCGGAGACAAATGGGCAAAATGTGTTTTTCACTCTGATGCCCCTGTTACCTAGCAGTAAATAGGTACCTGGGAGTTAGACAGCTGCTACGGGCTGCTTCCCGTAGGGGGGGGGGGGTGTAACAAAAAGGAGGCCTGGTCGAGGACCGGGCCGCGAGGACGCTAAGCCCCGAAATCATCTCAAGATAACCTCAAGAAGATACTCTCAACGGGTCGCAGTGTGTTGTTGAATTCACCCAGGGGTCGCAGTGTGTTGTTGATTTCACCCAGGGGTCGCAGTGTGTGTGTGTGTGTGTGTGCATTTTTTCTGTTGTTTTAGATTCAGCTACTGGGAACAAAACGTTCCAAGTAGCACGGTCTATGGTGAGCCCGTAGTGGACTTACCTGGCACAGGAAAGGTGCTGCGATTTTTTTTCTTGTTGTTATTAAAGATTTAGCTATTCGGGACGGAGTGTCCATGTAGCACGGGCTATGGTGAGCCCGTCAGTTTTTTTTTTTTTTTCTCTACCTTGGCAGTTTATATCTCTAACATTACCGCAAGAGAGGTGTACCCGCTTCTCGGTAAATATATCCTGAAAGTATGCTATGGTTATGATTACGGGCTATTCATGCTCGTGCCACTTCTTGGGTGGCTTAATCTTCAGTAATCAATGGTTTTGAACTATGTTCAGAGATAAAGTATTCTTCCTGTTTGATCAGTAAGCACTTATTAACGTCTATCAACAGCGGGAGGGTTATTATTAACAACCACCTGAACGCTATCATTCTTGAGATGAAGGAAAGTTATACTTGCAATTAACCGGTAAATTAAGTCTTATCTGACCAGATGTAAGTCATTCTAGATAACTGCTAATTATTTTCATTGGGATAACTATATCCTGATATATAACAGGATCAACATATATAAGGGGGGTAGAAATAGCCTAAGCTACTCTATCCCTTTGAGATGTATTTATTGCTTATCTCAATAAACATACTTGAACTTGAACATATATAATACCGTGTTCTTTTAATAAAAAGGGTGACGTTTGATAGTTTTAAAATCAATTCCTGTAATTTGCCACTGAAACTGCAAACTGTTGAAAGCGACGGGATCATTTCATGTGGATTATACACTTAACAGGACAAGAGACCCGTAATTGAATCTACCTCTAAAGTAATTACTTAAAATTAATAATAGTATATGGGTGATAGAGAATATGGGTTTTATATGACCGTTGATAACTTGGAATGACATTAGGCTATTAACGGTCAATGCCATGGTTCACCATGGCAACCGTAATGAATGGTTTACCATGTCGTAGCTCAGTCGATTAAGGCAGCGTCTGGCTGCAACCCATCCTCGACTCAAGTCCATTACATCCAGCAGTCAACCCCACAGACGCATTCATATATTTTAACATGCTATTCATTCAAAACGGGAATTTTCTCAAGTATAAATTAATATTATAATATATTGGCATATTGTGTATAAATACGCATAGGTTAGGTTAGGTGTTTAGGTTCTGTTGGCGATTATTTGTATTTGTAGTCCGTGGGTGAAGCATTTATAGCGTTGTGATTCGAACAAAATTCGTCAGTGAAGCACTTGTTCCGGATATATTCGAACTTCAGCAGTTGTGAGTCGTGTGTAAATCGCTTTTCATTCATAAACAGGGGGGTTTGGCGGGTGCATGGAATCACTTTTGGATCTTTGTTTGGAGGACGGGCTGTAAATTACATATACATAAGTTTTACAAGGCAATTATACATTACAATTCATGCTACTAGGAACTTTTTGTTCCGAGTTGCTGAATCTTAAACAACAACAACATTTGTATCCTCTTTAACGTTAGCTAACGTTAGCTAACATTTCGACCAGTTATTATGGTTTTTGTGTTTTGGAAAATAAGGGAAGGACGTGCGCCAAGAGGTTCTTACGAACAGAACAATGTTACATAGCACTTAACGGGCACGATATAAAATATTATAAAGTGTTGTAGTTTATTATCAAGCCAAGACTCGACTTTTATAAGTTTCCGGGGAAACCAACGCCTCAATGCCAGAGTACCAGAGTACTTGTCTTATGATCACCCAACTTTAAAAACGCCAGAACGAGAGGGTGAAGTCGAATACAAAATTCCTTATGTATCCAGTAACGATACCTGGATACGACATTGCTCTTTGTAAGTATTTGCTCAAGGAAAATTGTTTAAACTAATTCCCGGGATAATAACAAAAAAATCTAGCAGAGGAAAATCCCGGAACGTTAGGCTTGTTCAAGTATGTTTATTGAGATAAGCAAGAAATACATCTCAAAGGGATAGAGTAGCTTAGGCTACTTCTACCCCCCATTAGGCTTGTTTACTTCTCCACAGATGAGAAGTGCCACCACTACAGGAGCCACAGTCGCCATCATGGCCAAGGAGCAGCGGACCGATGCTACTTTACAGGAGACCTCTGGCGAGGGTGGTGACAACAGGGAGAAGTGGGGCAACCAGCTCCAGTTTGTCTTATACTGTTTGAGCTACGCTGTGGGCTTCGGTAATGTCTGGAGGTTCCCCTATCTCTGCTACAAGAACGGCGGGGGTGAGTAGGGTGTGTGTAAAGATCTGTGTACCTACATGATGAGAGCTATGCTCGTGATGTCCTTCCCACTACTCGTGTGTGTGTGTGTACTCACTTAGTTGTGTTTGCGGGGGTTGAGGTCTGGCTCTTTGGTCCCGCCTCTCAACTGTCAATCAACTGGTGTACAGGTTCATGAGCCTACTGGGCTCTTATCATATCTACACTTGAAACTGTGTACGTTGTCTGTCTCCACCACATCACTTCCTAATGCATTTGTGCACTAATTATGCACTTAATACTATAATGATACATTTATGAACTTCCTAACGATTGTGTGTGTACAGAGCTATTTGTTATATCTATTGTCACCTATTTGTGCCTGCAGGACACTACCATTCTAACCGCCGGTTGTCTAATGCAATGACTCCTGACTTATTTTCCAAATTATGAACGGAGTTCGCTTCTATAACCTGCTTCTTTAGTTCATTAAATTTTCCAACTACTCTTACGCTAAAAGAAAACTTTCTAACATCTCTGTGGCTCATCTGTTTCCTATTGTTTTATTGGTGTTCACTGCGAACATTTAATCTTTTTCTACTCTTTTTTTCCAATCAATTCCCTTCCCCCCTTTTAAATGTCATACGTTTTTATCATGTCTCCGTTCCGCCCACTTTCCTAGCATCAAGTTCTCTCAGTTTTCTTTCAAATTTATGCCTGTGTGTTTTGCGCGTATCCGCATGGTTACCAGGACTCACCTGTTCAAGTTCAAGTATGTTTATTGAGATAAGAAAGAAATACATCTCAAAGGGATAGAGTAGCTTAGGCTATTTCTACCCCCCCCCCTTCACCTGTGTACGCACGCGCGTGCATATGTGTGTGTGTGTGTGTGTGTGTGTGTGTGTGTGTGTGTGTGTGTGTGTGTGTGTGTGTGTGTGTGTGTGTGTGTGTGTGTGTGTGTGTGTGTGTGTGTGCGTGCGCGCGCGCACATCAATGGACTGACTCGCGTCGGAGAATATGGGAACATAGCTGGATTTTGTGTCTTGGGGGGGGGGGGGGAGAAGCTCCTACACATTGTGTGGTTTAAGCACCCAGGGCCTTGCAGTGGTATATTTTTATTCACAATCATGAACATGCTTGCCATTGTTATGAATGCAAGCCCAGACTCGCCTTGTTGTCCTTGTAAAGTAGACGAAACCCCTAGTCAGTGTCGCCTAGGGCAGACTGCTAACGCCGACCTGTATGAAGCGAGACAGTCGCTCTACCGTCCACCCCATGTGACTGGGTTAGGGAGAAGAGCCGTGGTAAATACTGAGCGTTTGTCATCGAGGCAGGTTGTTGTTGTTGTTGTTGTTGTTATAGATTTAGCTACTCGGAACAAGTGCCAAGTAGCACGGGCTATGGAGCGCCCGTAGTGGACTTACCTGGCACAGGAGCGGACTTGACACAGGGGTTGATGGAGATGGTGGGGATATTGTTGGGGATGGTGGTGGTGGTGGTGGTGTGGGTGATTGTGGTGGTGGTGTGGGTGATTGTGGTGGTGGTGTGGGTGATTGTGGTGGTGGTGTTGACGGTGGTGGTGGTGGTTACTGTGAACATTGAGGGAGATGGTGCCTTTTGTAGTGTTCAGGGTGATGGTGATTGTAGTGTTGATGGTGGTGATTGTAGTGTTGATGATGGTGGTTGTAATGTTGAGAAGAAAACATAAATATCATTACTGGTCCATCCATGATACCATTTCCAGAATATGATACCAGATTTCCACAATATGATACCACATTTCCACAATATGCAGATAGCCTCAACGATAACTTTCCAAGGTAACTTCTGTATCCTAGTCCTCTAGTTCTGCTGTTTCTCTCTTTAAATATGTTACTGAACTATTTTATGTATCACATCATGATAGTGACCTGCTGAGCAACAAAATAATTACAGTGGTATAGTTTTAACACAAGACACGACCGATACAAGGGTCAGAGGGATCGATTTAGCTGTACACTTCCCAGAATTTATCAAAACACCCAATACAGTGACTTGCGTTGTATGATCCTGTATTGATCCTCTTTCCTCACATCAAACTTTATCAAATAAAACATTTTATTTTCAATTTTTTTCAGCTTCTTTTCTTAAGTACTCTTTCCACTTGTGACATAAAAATGGATATTAATATACGTATATGTATATGCATGCAGTATATGTATGTGAATATCTACAACAAATTTGTGTAATTAGTTTCACAATTGTGTTACTTGTTTAGCTAAATGAACTGTGGGGTTCAATTCCCGAACCTATTACGTGCCTCTGTAACCCCCTTTCCACAACTGACCACGGAACAGGTATGGGGGTGCATAATAAATGACTCAACTAAACTGTTCTTTCTCTTGAATGAGTTTCTGATCCACAGCGGCGTTTCTGATCCCCTACGCGACCATGCTGCTGTGTGCGGGTCTACCCCTCTTCTTCTTGGAGCTCGTCATGGGCCAGTACGTCAGCCTGGGGCCAGCTGCTCTCTTCCCTAAGCTGGCTCCCATCCTCTCAGGTGAGGCGTCCTTCACCCTCTTGTATCCAGGTCCCACCGAGGTCGAACTACTGACCCTCCCGAGGATGTAACCCCCCCACAACAGTTGCCTAACTCCCTGGAAGTCATGAGGCGAAAGGAAAACGTGCCAACATATCCTTCCTGTCCTTATCCGCCTTACAGGACTCTCTCGACGCCTCACCGAGCCACAATGGGTCGTCTTTCCATTTCCTTCCTGTCCTTATCCGCCTTACAGGACTCTCTCGACGCCGCACCGAGCCTCGGTGGGTCGTCTTTCCATTTCCTCCCTGTCCTCATCCGCCTCACAGGACTCTCTCCTTTTCCGTCCCGCTAAACAATCGACCCCGTAATCCCCTAATTGTGAGTCGAGAAGGAAGCCCCCTGTACTACGAGACTAGCATCATCCACGTAGACTCAAGGACTGCCGATGGGACTCTGAGCCTCGAGGACCCCAGAGAGAATGATTGATTGATGCCAAGAGGTGGCACGGGCATGAATAGCCCGTAAGTGGTGGCCCTTTTGAGCCATTACCAGTATCAAGAGCTGATACTGGAGATCTGTGGAGGCGCGACTGCACCCTGCATGACGGGAGATGTCTCCCGGACCAAATGGTGACCAGATGGTCGCCAGAGAGAACGTAGTTCATATTGGAATATAATCAGGGAATGTACTGCAGTGGTCTACGTCTTTGGCGCACAACAGAGGACCCCCCAGGTTCGATCCCCGGGCAGGATAGAGACGGTTGGACACGTTTTCTTACTCCTGATTCTTCTTTTCACCTAACAATGAATAGATACTCGGGACCTTTCGTTTGTAAACCGACTGCAGACATTTAATTTACTTACTCAGATATGTTTAGTTCTCATATCTTCAAGCCACGTTATTGTGATTCATCGTTAGCTTACTTACCCAGAGTCTAAAGTGATACTTTTATGAAAGTAATACAAGGTAGACCAGCCAAACATTTGTTAGGGGTCTTGATTAGTGTAGGACGATTGGGCACTGTTAATTTATTCCGTTTTTCATTATGCAAACCCAAATAGTGATCAGGGTTTGCGATGAAGAACGATTAGGGGGATCTTGATTGGTGGAAAACATGGCCCTGTGTAATCCGACCGTGAACTAGGCCCGTGGATCCCCACATTAAAAAAGGCCCAGAATGAACAAATCCACAAGGGCCGTGACGAGGATTCGAACCTGCGTCCGGGAGCATCCCAGACACTGCCGGAATCTTGGATGCTCAGGCAGTGTCTGGGATGCTCCCGGACGCAGGTTCGAATCCTCGTCACGGCCCTTGTGGATTTGTTCATTTGATGCATCACGTTAGTGTGATCTCTGTGTGTAAAGGCCCAGAATATTTTAAAATGAAATCCGCCGCATCTCCAGGGCTCGGGTGGGCACAGGTGGTGCTCTCTCTGCTGACAGCCGTCTACTACAACCTGATACTGGCGTGGACGTTGTTCTACGTGGTCTCCTCCTTCGCCTCACGGCTGCCTTGGGGGCACTGTGACAACGAATTCAACTCTCCAGGTGAGATATACTGATGCAGCGGCGCTGATTATGACTAGTTTTATACTATTATAGTTAATTCCATTGTTACTATTGTGACGATAATCTGAAATAGAGCAGTGGCTATTCTGGCAAGTGTTGTGCCAATCACATATTAATGTAAACAAAAATATGTAAAATAAAGTAATTAAGACTGCTTCCGACCTCTACTGTGGGAGAGCTGCGGGTAAAAACCAAAGAAGGAAAAACTTTAAACATTTACTATAACAAAAATTACTTTAATAACATACAAATTAAAACTCCCCTTATCCACTTGGCTTAAACACAATTTACAAGAGAAATATACACATGTAACAGTTACGTTAATGGCAAAGGTGCAATTAATACGTTATACAAAAACTGCGCGAGTCTTCCAACACTCGGGGGAGCGAGAGTAGATGTTGCGGCTGAGAGCACGAAGTGTATTCTGATCACTGGACGTTGTTGTTATAGATTCAGCTACTCGGAACAAAAGTTCCAAGTAGCACGGGCTATGGTGAGCCCGTAGTGGACTTACCTGGCACAGGAGCGGGACTGTAACTGATCACTGGACGCCAGCCATCTGTATATATACGGGCCAATGACATCAGAGATGGCACGAATCTTGTAGGTAACCATCGGCCGGCAGTTAAACAAGCAGTTAGTGTCTGGTCAATCGACGAGTGGCGTCGGGGCCTCTGCCCAGACGGCAGGTGTCCAGGTGTCTCGGGTACTGGAGGGTCGGAGGAGGGGGGGGGGTGTCTGTCAAGACACTGAGGCGTCTGAACACGTATTGTTGTTGTTCAGATTCAGATTTAGCTACTCAGAACGAAGTGTCCATGTAGCACGGGCTATGGTGAGCCCCTGTTTTCGTTGATGTTGATTCCTTATGTTGGAGCATGCAGATACGTTGGTGAATAGGCGATATAGGGAGCAGACAGAATTTACTGCCTAAGCAGGACCATAACTCTATTATTACTAGAATTATTACTAAAATTACTGCTACTACTTCTACTAATTCTATAACGGTTGCTGCTAACACTTTTGGAACTACTGCTACTAGTACTAGGCTTCAGAAGCGATAAAATTGACTTGCCTGGTCTCTCGCCATGTTTGGCCTTCCCAAGAGTGCTTTGTGGAGGATGCTGCCAGAGTATGCAGGAACCAGTCGCTCTACTACTACAATAGGTCCTGCCTCAGCACCCAGGAGTACTGCAGCCTGTCCAACCTCACCAACTACAACGAGACTCATTGCTACAGTCACCAAGTCCCTGGCGAGGTGAGGGCGGTTGAGAGCGTAGTGTACAGGATATCCGCCAGCGAGGACTTCTTCAGGTGAATACTTCAGACTAGGGGTCGTGCTGTATATCGCATTTAATTGTTGTATTTTCATGTACTGCTGTGTTGTATTTCTGCTATTGTTGGGGTTGGTTAACAAAACTTTGCTTTTGGATGTATTATTCAGCATGTCTTTAAAAAGATGTATTTAAGGGGAAAATACGAATATTTCTTACTTTCTTTAAGCGACAAATGTTATTCACCGTCAGGAATCGGATGCTGGGCGTGACTGGGAGGAGCTGGGAGGACATGGGAGGCCTTCGCTGGGAGTTGGTAGGCTGTCTGGCTCTGGCTTGGGTTATCGTTGCCGCCTGCCTGGCCAAGGGTATCAAGACCACGGGGAAAATCGTCTACTTCACTACTCTTTTTCCCTATGTCGTCCTCATGATCCTCTTCGTCAGAGGTACGTGTGCCGATGACGATCCGTTTTCGTCTCCAGCTTAGAAAGCTTTGACCCAGTGTGCCCTTATAATGTGTCCCAAAGTTGGAGTAGTACCTAACCTCTATAATATAGCACAAGTCACTGTGCTATATTTGTTTGTTTGTTTATTTATTTAGGTAAGGTACATACATACAAGAAATTTTTACAAAGATTGGTTGACTTATAGGTAGAGCTAGTACATACAATGCCTAAAGCCACTATTACGCAAAGCGTTTCGGGCATGAACATAGTACTATACCTGGCTCTGTGCCCCACTGTGCTACAGTAGGACCTGTCTCTATAATGGACATTTGTGGTCTCCGTGGCAGGCGTTACCCTTGATGGAGCATATCAGGGGATAGAGTTCTACTTGCTGAAGCCCAACATGACTCGCCTGATGGAGGTGGAAGTGTGGAATGATGCTGCCATACAGATCTTCTATTCTCTCGGGGTCTGCTTCGGTTGCCTCATTACCCTCTCCTCCTACAACAAGTTCAATAATAACTGCTTGAGGTTAGTGCATTGCTGAAACATGCAAGGAGAACTAAGGTATGGGTTGGATGGTAAAAATATTAGTATGCCTCCCTCACACCTTGTACCCATTTTCTTTTTTGACAAGTTATATGAGGGGCAACTGAGTAAAAATCAGACAAACGCTGTAGGAAAGTAGAACATAATTTAATAATAATTCATTGTGTCAGGGGACAATCAACCACTTTATATATATACCAGTACATGTTCGGCTTATATCGAGGTCCCCTCTCCCTGGGTCGAATTACTGACCCCACCCCCCTGCCCCCAGGAAGCAGCCCCCACAACAAGCTGGGTACCCAACTCTTGGGTACCTATTTACTGCTAGGTGGACAGGGGTATTGGGTGAGAGCAAACGTGCCAAAATATGTTTATGCCGCCCGGGATTCAAACCCGGAATTCTCGATTATCAATCGAGAACGAACCCGACTGCACTAGCGGTACATAGACAATATATACAATACAATACAATACAATACAATTTTTTTTTTTTTTTTTTTTTTTTTTTTTTTTTTTTTTTTTTTTTTTTTTTTTTTTTTTTTTTTTTTTTTTTTTTTTTTTTTGAGATATATACAAGAGTTGTTACATTCTTGTACAGCCACTAGTACGCGTAGCGTTTCGGGCAAGTCCTTAATCCTATGGTCCCTGGAATACGATCCCCTGCCGCGAAGAATCGTTGTTACAACCAAGTACACATTTTACTGTTGCGTTAAACAGAGGCTACAGTTAAGGAATTGCGCCCAGTAAATCCTCCCCGGCCAGGATACGAACCCATGACATAGCGCTCGCGGAACGCCAGGCGAGTGTCTTACCACTACACCACGGAGACTGCTAAATTTAGGTAAGGTACATACATACAATAAATATTTACAAGGATTGTTTGACTTATAGGTAGAGCTAGTACATACAATGCCTAAAGCCACTATATGATAATGTTTAAAACACCGAGAGACATAGCCAGGAGGTAAACAAATTGATTTTGTTTTTCAAGACAAGATAAATAGAGCGAGATACCATAGGTGGGAACTGGAAACCCAAATGAGCCACATGGATATACTGTAGATAAATATCCATGTGGTATTCACTACTTACACATTTAGTGTGTAAGTAGTGAATACGTAAAAAGGCAAATGCAATATATAACGTACCTGAAATTAATTATAACGTCGTAGAAAGCAAAGTTACAACAGATACACGATTGTAAAGAGGCAGATTCAAGGGCTTTTCCTACTTGTTCATAAGCACTATTAGGTCAACTCGCTCAATAAGGGAATTATCAGGAAAAAGCATCAAGCCATTATAACTATATAACACTTGGAAGGGATCAGGTTAAGGATTTGGGATGGGACGGAGGAAAGGAATGGTGCCCAACCCCCCTTGGACGGTCGGGGAACTCGCTCAGTAAGTCAGCACACATTTGTTGATAACCCGCACAACTTCTTAATTTCAGGGATGCGATCGTCATCGCCTTCTCCAACTGCCTGACCTCTGTGTTCACCGGTGTCGTCATCTTCAGCGTGCTGGGGTTCCTGGCCAAGCAGCTTGGGGTGGAGGTGAAGGATGTGGCCACCTCGGGCTCCGGCCTGGCCTTCGTCGTGTACCCGGCGGCACTCAACCTCATGCCCGTCCCACAACTTTGGGCTGTCCTCTTTTTCTTTATGCTTGCGACCATTGGGTTCGGCTCACAGGTGAGTCACGTTCCATTTGGTACACCTCTTACAGGTGAGTCCGGTCCCTCTTGGCTCACAGGTGAGTTCGTCCCTCTTGGCTCACTAGTGAGTCCGGCCCTCTTGGCTCACTGGTGAGTTTGCTTGCTCATGGCTCACAGGCGAGTCCGGTCTCACTTGACTCGTAGGAAAGCTGGGTCCCTTTTGACTCACTGATAAGGCATCAGTCTCTGTCCATTTATCCGTTTCAACCATAACAGGGATGCGATGGGCATATCCTACCTCTCAAAGTCCCTGCGATGCAGTTTCAAGAGACTAGCTTATAAACCTTTGGATTGTACGCCTCGCCAGCGGTATCGGCCTAACCCCTGGGCATGGAGAGACGTTCGACTCCTGGGCAGGGAGAGACGTTCGACTCCTGGGCAGGGAGAGACGTTCGACCCCTGGGCAGGGAGATACGTTCGACCCCTGGGCAGGGAGAGACGTTCGACCCCTGGGCAGGGAGAGACGTTCGACCCCTGGGCAGGGAGAGACGTTCGACCCCTGGGCAGGGAGAGACGTTCGACCCCTGGGCAGGGAGAGACGTTCGACCCCTGGGCAGGGAGAGACGTTCGACCCCTGGGCAGGGAGAGACGTTCGACCCCTGGGCAGGGAGAGACGTTCGACCCCTGGGCAGGGAGAGACGTTCGACCCCTGGGCAGGGAGAGACGTTCGACCCCTGGGCAGGGAGAGACGTTCGACCCCTGGGCAGGGAGAGACGTTCGACCCCTGGGCAGGGAGAGACGTTCGACCCCTGGGCAGGGAGAGACGTTCGACCCCTGGGCAGGGAGAGACGTTCGACCCCTGGGCAGGGAGAGACGTTCGACCCCTGGGCAGGGAGAGACGTTCGACCCCTGGGCAGGGAGAGACGTTCGACCCCTGGGCAGGGAGAGACGTTCGACCCCTGGGCAGGGAGAGACGTTCGACCCCTGGGCAGGGAGAGACGTTCGACCCCTGGGCAGGGAGAGACGTTCGACCCCTGGGCAGGGAGAGACGTTCGACCCCTGGGCAGGGAGAGACGTTCGACCCCTGGGCAGGGAGAGACGTTCGACCCCTGGGCAGGGAGAGACGTTCGACCCCTGGGCAGGGAGAGACGTTCGACCCCTGGGCAGGGAGAGACGTTCGACCCCTGGGCAGGGAGAGACGTTCGACCCCTGGGCAGGGAGAGACGTTCGACCCCTGGGCAGGGAGAGACGTTCGACCCCTGGGCAGGGAGAGACGTTCGACCCCTGGGCAGGGAGAGACGTTCGACCCCTGGGCAGGGAGAGACGATTGGACACCCATCTTTAACTGTTCGCCTCAGTTCACCCAGCAGTAATTGTGTTTATAAACAGATTGGAAGATCGTATTCCAGGGAAACCTAACATTGTAAGGCTTAAGATGTGGGAAGGGAAAGCTTTAGGCCTTTTAAAAAAAATCAGAGTCATTTTTATATGCCCTTATCTGTAATAAAGAGTAATATAGAGGCAATTAATACTGATATAACATTTTCTGATGACAGTTCACTATGGTGGAGACAGTGATAACGTCTCTTGCGGACCAGTTTGAGTGGATGCGACGGAGGAAGGTGGTCGTGGTGGTGGCGACGTGTGTTGTACTCTTCCTGCTGGGTGGTACCTTGTGCCTGGAGGGCGGAGTCTTCATGTTCGAGCTCTTCTTCTTTTACTCGACGGGCATATCTATGTTCGTGTTATGCCTTCTGCAGCTCTTTGGTGTCCACTACATTTACGGTACGTCAGTGGCCTTAGGTCATAAAAGTATTTATGTGTACGTCTGATACCATACTACTTGTGTAAAGGAGGAAATGTATATGTTTATCTCTCAGAATGTTTGGTAATATGTTTATTGCTTAATGTGTGTCTATGTATGTATTAACACGATGTACTGAACGGGGTGAGAATAGCTTGAGCTACCTCATCCCTTTGTGGGTATTTTACCTCAATAAACTTATTTCAATTTCAATGGCCTTCAGCTGTGATCACAAAAAAATTGATAAATAAGTTCATAGATACAGCACCAAATCAGTGAAAGGTTACAGGCAGTGAGTCATAATACTGCCCCCCCCCCTTTCCAACATTAAAATCTAAAAATATTGAAATTGACGACATTTCGGTCCGTCCTTAACTATTATCAAGTCGGTAACGGTCCAGAACAGACCGTCGGACGGTCGTCAATTTCTATGTTTTCCGATTTGTGTGTTGGGTGTCGAGTGAAAAGATACATAGATAATAATAGAAGCTAGCCATTATTTTGTGGGTAGAAATTTTAGATGATATTCTTTTAAATATTCATTTTAATCAATTATCGAACAATTCCCAAGTCATATCACAGGCAAAATGTTATTTATCTCCTTATTCGGCTGAACTTAAATTGTCAGTCAATTCTTTTCGAATATTATTCAATAATCTTTATAAATAAATAACATTCCGGCCGGTATCCTAGACCTTTATCAAGTCTTCATTGTGTGGTGTTCTAAACCAGACACATATTTACAACCAGTTTGTAGACTTGCCGGGCACATGTCTCACTTCCCATGGATGTAAAAGTCAGTTTGTATTTTAATAGAAAACGCTCTAATCATCCCACCCCATCTACCCATCTCCTCGTCTTTCCTATCCTTCCATTCTGAAAAATGGAAAAAGCATCTCCTGTTCTCAGTCCTACATTGTGGCTTGTTGATCTTGAAACCATTACACAAACAAGGATCATCGTTTTCAAACTCAACAAGCCACAATGTAGGACTTAAACAGGAGATGCTTTTTAACCCACAGAGTTATTAACCCATGGAACCGCTTACCCGCCGAAGCCGGAAATGCCGAAACTCTGTTAACCTTTAAAGTACAGCTGGAAAAGATCATCGAGGCAAATGGGGGATACCTTCGACAAGCCGCCGGCGAGGTCGAAGTCGAGGTCCTGTCCTTGTCGAGGTCACTCGTGTTAGTGGCTCTCAGGTAAACTCGGGTAGTTCTCTTTCTTCATCTTCCCGACCCTTCCACTCTCCCATGCTCTCACGTCTCATTGGCGCAGGGTTCTCTAAGCTTATGAAGAACCTGGAGGAGATGGGCATGCGGCTGCGACGTCCACTCTACTGGTACTGTACCTCCACCTGGCTGGTCATCACCCCCGGAACACTCATAGTAGGTAACCCCTATGTCGTTCTCTTGCTCTGTCTCTCTTTCTCTCTCTCTCTCTCTCTCTCTCTCTCTCTCTCTCTCTCTCTCTCTCTCTCTCTCTCTCTCTCTCTCTCTCTCTCTCTCTCTCTCTCTCTCTCTCTCTCTCTCTCTCTGTCCTGTGGGCCTTAATAAACATATAAATAAATAATCACAAAACATTTCTTTGTCAGGTTTAAACAAATTTCAATCATTTACTGTGTGTTGTGCCAATAAAATATGAGCTCAGGTAATCCCAGGCCAAGCATGAGGGGTATAATCACCTTGTGCACAAGACAGATCACCAAAGCTCGTATAATGATTGTCAAACTCGTATATATTGTTAAGTTAAAATGTATTAGTTTGGGTTCAGCTGTCGTAGGCTGGGGTTAATTGGGCTAGGTTAGGTTGGGTAAGGTTAGGTTAGGTTAGGTTAGGTTAGGTTGGGTAAGGTTAGGAGTTTTTAAAATCCGTTCGTGAGCCGTCTTGAATACGATGCGACATGTAGGTGGACCTGACACCATTTACCAGATTATCTACTACGGTTGTGTTATTAACATTATCCTGTGGCTTTTCTTTCCCGCTCAGGTGATTGGTTTCTTCAGTTTGTACCATTTCCTCCCGGCCTCTTGGGGAGACTACGTCTTCCCCTACAACATCCAGATCCTGGGGTGGTTCCTTTGCTTCTCTTCTCTGATCTGCTTCCCCATTGGTGCCATCTATGTTATCTGTACCAACACGAAGAGCTTCAGAGAGCTTTTCGTAACGTCACCAGAGTTCTGTCCTAGCGATGTACGTAATCTACTCAAGGAGGCGCAGAAGGCGACGAGCAAGGGTCAGCACAACAAAGAAAACGGACAAACTAACTTGGCCATGAAGGTAAACTAACTTAAATGGTTCGGTGATATCTATTCGTAGTGGAATAATTGTAATAATTGTATCTCTTTGAGCCTGAGAAAGTGACAGTGGTTGAAAAGTATATCCAGATAATTTCTCTTGGTAAAATATTTTTTTAGCTGCCCAAACGTGGTAAAGTTGACGTCGTTCTAGACTCACAATCAGGGATGCCCGGGCGAGGCACACATATGGATAGGCACGTTTCCGTTCACCTAATGCACTTATTCACCTAGCAATAAATAGAAGTTAGATAAATGTTGTAGGGTTGCATCCTGGGGAGGTGGGGAGATTTAGGGGGCGATTTTATTGTGTGTTCATATATCCATAAAATAAGATTTTAAAATGCTTCCATTGTTTTCCGTGTGCAGATGAGCTGCGAGGAACTTTAAGAGGAGGGGACGATGGCTGACATTCGGTGTTCCTATTCCAGCACTTGTAGCAGCAGGTGTAACCATTCTAGCACTTGTAGTAGCAGGTGTAACCATTCTAGCACTTGTAGTAGCAGGTGTAACCATTCTAGCACTTGTAGCAGCAGGTGTAACCATTCCAGCACTTGTAGTAGCAGGTGAAACCATTCCAGCACTTGTAGTAGCAGGTGTAACCATTCCAGATTCCAGCTCTTTATCATTCTTAATTGCTCTCAACTCTTTAAGACATAACTGTAACATGCTCGTGTCTGAAGCTAGACACAAATACAACAAAATTATTAATGATGGTAACAGAGTCCATTTCATGTGGACTCCATCTCATGTTGGCCTCCGAATACATGATAAAGTTGACGAGTTAGCCAAAGAATCTGCCTTTAAAGGAGAAACTGAGTATAACCTTGGATTGTCAATAAGCAGTCTGAAAGCAATAGTACATACACCAAGAACTTCAACAAAATCTTGTAGATCTGAGGCAAAGTGAAATCGACACCAGTAATTCCATCTATCATCATACTATCATGCAAGAGGAGCCACACATCTATGGATCATCCAATAAAATCAGCAGACTTCTTGATGTTACTACTGCTCGGCTTAGACTCGGTTACAAGTATCTCCGGGAATTCTCATTATCTGCTGATGTAGACCTGACCAAATGTAAACTGTCAACAAAATTAATCGCACACCCTCCGTCACTATGTGATGGAGTGCGAAAAGATACGTGAATTCAGACAATTCTATAACAAATGTTCCAGAGATGTGTAAATATTTCATTAAAAATGATCTGCTGCCAGAATTCTTTGCCAAATATCCTCAGTTTGCTAACTGTAGGTAGTAACTATGTCCTTGTAACCTATCCACCGCTGCCCACTGGATGGGGGAGAGGGGGCGGTGTACAGGGCAAACATATAAATTGTGACACTAGCTCTCCACATATGTCAGTTGCTTAAATTAGAAACTCTACTTGTGGTCGGTTTCGAGCCCATTGTTGATGTGACGATATGCATTGTATTTTGTAACTAGCTCATCATGATTGTAACTTGCTTAGCTAAATGAATTGTGTGGTTCAGTTCCTGAGCCCATTATGTGTCTCTGTAACCCTTTCCACTACCGCCCACAAGATGGGTATGGGGTGTATAATAAATGAACTAAACTAAGTCGTGGTTGTGGGAGGACAAATGAGGGAGTAGCGCTCCCCCCGTCCCAACATGGCGACGGGCGGAGCACTACTCCAATCAAATATCACGACACCGCTAAGGAACTAGACAAGTCTTCAACGAATGACAGGAATAGTGATAACGAGGATCTTGCAACCTCTGGTGAAGATACAGAAGGCGTTTTTAGGGACAGCAAACACCACAGTAAGGCTAACAGACTGAAGGCTACGCGCCCTGGTCCCAAGAGGTAAACAAACAACCCCCGATAACCTAACCTCAAGATAGCCTCCCAACACGCACCTAACCAAGGTAGGACAAATTCGGACATTTCCCCTGTTCTAAAACCGGTCATCATGGATAGGTGTGTTTTTTTATAGCAAAAAAAAGACGCAGAGCATCATTTACACTGAAATCCCCAAGGCATTTAACATCAAAGTAGAATATGAGACCAAAAAACGAAAGAATTTTATCCCAATGAACCAAAACTTCAGCAAACCTCAGTGACATCCACGGACAGAAAATGTGATGCTATGAACCACTAGGTGACACACTAACAAAACATAGAATCAGACATGTCCTAGACATTAGCGAAGAAGACATTCAAACACACCTTGAGCGCTTTGGCCTGGGTTCGTATCCTGGCTGGAGGATTTACCAATCCTTAACTGTAGCCTCTGTTCACCCAGAAGTGAATGGGTACCTGGTTGTTAAACGATTTTGAGAGTCTTATTCCGGGGGAAAATTAGGATTAAGGACCTGCCCGAAACGCTATGGCTTTACAAGAGTGTAAGAACCTGTATATATAAATAAATACAAATAAATAAAGCTTCAAGGGGGTTAATATTCCTGTCTACAAAGCAAAGAAATTTATGGGTAAAATACAGGGAGAACTGAACGACGCAGGCACAGCCTCGCCTTCCTAGAGAAATCCCCCACCTAATCGGGTTTGGATCAATGGCTACTTATATTCATGCAAAGCCTAGCGTTTCGGGTAGGTTCTTAATCTAACATATCAGGTAAGATGAAAAGGTTCATTGAAACACGGTTTTATATCAAATAACTACAATATAAGTTGACAGAGGTGATTACACTGGTAAAGATATATGTCGTAAGTACTAATATTGAGGAAGTGGGTAGTTCTAGATACAGTGTGAGTTTAAAGCACAAGGTAGGAAACTGAGGATGAAATTAGGTACCTGTTGGTTTTACTTTTGAACAGGGCATGGGTTGATTTTTTTTAAATTCATCAGCAAGTGAGTTCCAAAGACTAGGCTCTTTTAATTGCATGGAGTGTTTACGCAGATTTAGTCTGACTGGTAATATCAAAGAGATATTTATTTCTGGTGTGGTTCTCATAGGTTTGTTACTTACATAAACTATAAGAATAAATCCTACGTCCAACGTAGTGTGTCAAAGTGTTAGCGTAGTCAAATGTAAGGAATTCAACCATGTCGCAAAAGAATGGGTACACACACAAAAAAAAAAACATTAAATGTGCAAAATGCTCAGAGGCCCACTACATACGAACATGCACCCCAGACACACTTAAGAGATGGAATGCATTAGGCAGTGATGTGGTGGAGGCAGACTCCATACAGTTTCAAATGTAGATATGATAGAGCCCAGTTGGCTGAGGAATCTGTACACCAGTTGATTGACAGTTGAGAGGGGGGATCAAAGAGCCGAAGCTCAACCCCCACAAGCATAATTAGGTGAGTACTCACAAATATAATGGTGAAGTGTGTGTCTTAACTTTTGTTCCCATAGTTTGCAACTGGAGTGCTCACCGCTATAATGCCTTACCGGTTCACCATAATCCAAGTGACCTAAATAGAAAAAGAGCTAAAGAGGTTTGAGGTAGTGAATTTTTGCAATGGCAAATTTAAGCCTAAGGTCTGAATGATAACTGCCTGAAGAATTCATATAACTAAAATAACCGCTGTAATACAAATGTATAATTTACTTTAGGCGCAATTATAGAAACAGGTGCATCTTCCATGGTATCATGTAAATACACGATTAGATAAAAGTCTACTTGATAATGTGCTCGTGGAGAATATTTGGAGGAATGTGTGATACCATGGTTATGTATAAGATAAGATCGAGTATAACTGACAACCGTTGATAAACCGGTACCTTTGACATCGCTCGTCTTGTCTCCTTTTGCTTTCGAAGTAACATCTTGAATGATATTGAAGACTTGTTGACAGTTCTTCCTCACAGACAATGTTAAATATTATTCTACATTTCGTTCTTTCTTTTCATAATTACTTACTTCCGACAGACAGTGTGTGTTATGTAATATGTGATCTACAGGTTTATGTTATGCATCTATAGGAAAAAAGGATATGACCTCAAAAGCGAACTATAATACTGTACTGCTCTTCTTCGTAGTACTTTCTTTATAAGAGGCTTTCAGTTTCAGTGTAGAGTGTAGGCAGGCCACCCGTAAAAATCCTGGTTGGGCACCAGTTCGGGTCTCCAGAACCTCCCAAAAATACTGTAGAGTTTCGAGTTAGTTGGCTTTTGTGCTATAGTGGCCTAGTGGGTTATGGCCTGGGAATCACCAGAACGCCGGTTCAAGTAACCCCATTGCCTCAAAAGGATTTTATCATTGATATAATGTGAAAAAATGTCATGGGAAGGCTGAACAAAAACACTGTGGTCGCCTTTCTCCATCAACGAGTAGGCGACGGGCCACACAGCACCTCGGATGCATTTCCGATGGTTCCTTTATAAAAGGGGTGATGCCTAGGAAAATAAGACTCGCGTCCCTAAAAAAAACGGAAGAAGGAAGGAAGAATCAGACCACGAAGGAAGAATTGAAACAGGAATTTCCTTAAGTACTTTGGTATTTAATAATACATCTTCTGAAGGGTACTTTCGTATTATTAAATACGAAAGTACGTAAGGAAATTCCTGTATAAATTCTTCCTTCGTGGTCTGACACTGTCACATTTATCATCACGTTAATTTTCGTGATTTACACACACACACCCACACACAATAAGTGCCCACACACCAATAATATATATTAAATTATATTTATGAAATATAAATAGTTTATTCCACCACATTCAAAACTATGATGTACTCATGTAATCTATAATGGATGGTCAGATTCATAACAATTAACATTGTTATGATAGATACAACACAACTGTATGGAGACCAGAAGACCCGCCTCGCGGTAGCATAAAGGTGGGTGTGGACAGTTGCTGTCATGGTCTAGTTTAACCAGTCCAGCAACTGGTTAAACACATGTCAATATAAATTCGCCTTCAGGGGTGGCCTGTGGAGCATCTGTCCTCTTGAATCATCGTATCATCGTATTTTGGCGTATAAATGATGTACTGTAAATCATAGCAGCTCGCGAAATTGACGGGTTGTTCAGTTTTCTATTTGTGGTCATCGGTTAGGCTAGGTTCAGGCAATTTAGTACATCATTCTTGTGACGTTGTGACATCCCGAGAGGCCGGGCTGCTGGAGTTGGAACATGACCCCCTTTCCCCCCCTCACCACACCCCAAATGCGAATCTGGATTTACGACGTTGATTTAACGTTACTTTAGTTTATTTTTGCTCATTGGAAGAGCCTGGAGAAGATCTTTTCAAACAGCAAGACAATATTTATCATTGTAAAGTTACGTGTTTTTCCGTCTCAATTTCTCTTGGTGTCCTTGGAGTGGTCTGGGAAGGCGAGGTGAGCCGGCAGGAGGGACAACAAAGTGCGGTGACGCCGGTAACTCGAGGAGTTACGGAAGTTGCGGTCTGTGCAGTGAAGGAAGTCCAGAACACCCAGCAGGCCGTAACATTCGTTGAACCTATATTAGATAATAATTTGATGTTACTTCACAAGTAAGCTAGTCAAGAACTTAAGGCAGTATAACACTATGCAATTCAGGAATAATCAAGATTGCTTCAAAATATATTACTTTATCAGAAAACCCCAAAAAGTCCTTATCAAATCCCATGGATGTAGTTTAACGTTGTTTAAAAATATAAATAAACATTCGGTCACCAGAATGTTCGGGAACCCTGTTCACGTCAACTCACTTGAGGTGATGGAAGTCATGGAACTGAGGAGAGAGAAGAAAGGGGAGGTGGTAGCCGCTGTGGTGGACGAGTGTCCCCAGCGTGGCCACCACCACCCAGAGCCAGAGGGTGGCGGGGTGGACACCGAGGAGCAGAGGACCCAGCAGGATGGGCACCAGGTTACACAGAAGGTGCTCCAGTGGGTGGGCACAGGCTGCTGTGATGGCGATGGGACTCTGCCATTCGTGATGTATCTTGTGGAAGTGTTTGTAAAGCAGCCGGTGGTGGAATAGCCTATTAAACCAATAATTATAGTGCTAGTGAAAATATTTTATTCTAGTATTATTATTATTATTATTATTATTATTATTATTATTATTATTATTATTATATTATTATTATTATTATTATGTTGGTGTCGCCTTCACAAGGATTTAAAATTGTTACTGTATAGAATTTGGAGAAAGTTCACCGCCGGATGACTAAAATCATTCCTTATCTAATTATAGTCGACTCTGATACCAGGAACGGTTGAGGGCCACAGGGCTAACAACACTGTAAACCAGACATGACAGGGCTGATCTCATCAAAACTTAAAATATTGAACAAATTGGAGGATACTGATCCTAACCACTCTTCAACAGGTCAGATATAACACAAACAAGGAGCAACGCTTTCAAGTTCAATAAGCCACAGTGCAGGACGGAAAACAGGAGATACTTATTCACCGTTATTCCATAAACCCAAGGAACCGCCTACCCGCCGAAGCCGTAAATGTCAAAACATTGCTGAATTTAAAAATCCGGTTTGAAAAAAATCATCAGGATAGCTGAGGAGACCTTCGACCAGCCGCCGACTTCCTGTCCTCGTCGAGGCCACTAGAGAAATAGTGGCCCTCAGGTTGATGCTATGAAAGGCACAAACGCGCAATTCTGCACTGTGATTTGTTTATTTATTAATAATAATAAATACAAATCACAACAAGGAACGGTAAAGAATTACACGTTTGTGCTTGTGATAATTAAATATGAACTAGAACAACCAAAAACTGTGGTCATGTTGCCAATATTCACCCCCTGTTAACTCTAGAAATTTAGTCGGAGAATATAGAAAAACAATGCGAGGAAACTGACCAAACACAATCTTAAAAAATCTGAAAAACACAGTTGCGAACAAAACAGCCCAGAATTAAATCACTGTCAGCAAGAAATTTACGAAAACAATAAGAAAATTTATGGGTTTTATTGTTAACCCATAAAACTCAACCTTTATCACCTGTGTGAGTAATAGAAGCCTATTTCCTCCATCAGGATGCAGACGGCCAGGTGGCGCAGGACGCAGAAGAGGTCGGGCAACTGGGCTGTGATCAGGTCGCTTCCCCGCAGCAGCAGGGCGTGGTAGCTGACTATCATGAAGGGAATGGTCGTCCCCACCAGGTTAACATTTACCAACAGTATGCACTGTCGAAGAGGATCGAGGTTATTCTCCGAGAGAAGAATGTTATAACTACAGGAGTGTGGTCAGTGCATTCACTTGGTTAGTTTGATGGTGAACTTACTACGTCTATTACTCACGGAAGGGTTATTAAGACCACCACAATCGCTTACTGACCCACCAGTAAGTATCCCTTAGTCCTACACATGTATTAAAGTAAACTCTCATTGTATTTACACGGAAAAATGTGGTACACCTTTTGGTGTACATGTCAGTCATAATTACAATGAATTGAAAAACTATTCTGAAACTTTAAGTACAAAAACCAATGCAGTTAAGGTAGTATATTGAGCTAATACAACCCTGACTTACAATAATACAAGGTATAATTTAGATAATAAACTTAGTCAATTACGATAGTATTAAGCAGATTCACAACCCTGGCAATAAAAAGATTTAATACAATTTAAATACAGAATTTACTTTCATCTGCATGTAATATGTTCACCTTGCGTCACAGTCATATGTATGTATACCTGGCATCACAATTACATGCACACTCACAATCACAATTATATATATATATCCACTCGATTTACCCAGGTCGTTAAATCTAGGACTCTATGTTTTAAAATGACGGTTTTAAAATAACGTTAACTGTATAGCCATATTTGGGAGAACAACAGGATAGATGGTGGATGGGCGGGCTGGCTAACTGGTTGGTAGGTGGGTGGGTGGGCAGGCACCAGTCTGGCAGTGGATGGATTGGTTGCTGAATGGCAGGCGGGCAGGGTGCATGGATTGGTGGCTGACTGGTGGGTGGGTAGGCAGATGTGGGCGGGCAGGCGGGGATGATTGGCAGAATGGATGGGTAGGCAGGGTGGATGGGTGGATTGGTGGCTGGCTGGAAGGCAGGTGGGGGTGGGTAGGTTGTGCATGGGCAGGCAGGCAGGTTGGGTGAGTGGGCAGGCAGGCTGGGTGGATTGGTGGATTGGTGGTACGGGATTAATTAGGTTCAGATTCTTGACTTCCTTCCTACCAGCTGGTGGCCTTAGAGGCAGACTGCCCTGTCTGACATCTTTATTTATTTATTTATTTATGTATATACAAGAAAGTGCATTGAGTTTGCGAGAGCACATAACGTTAGTGTTCTGTAAACAACATCAGACTCATGTTGTTTACAAACTGTGACTGGTTGCTACCACAACTGTGAATGCTTAACTACCTTTGACTGGTTATGACTTACTGTGAATGCCTGACAGACTTGTGATTGTGAATGTCTGCCTGACTGTGACTTGTGACGGAATGCCTGACTGACTGTGATGAATGCCTGACTGACTGATTTGGCCATGGCTGCCTCTGACTGGTAGCGACTGTGACTAGCTCTGACTACATGCTGCATAACGGGAGCTGTGTAATCTGTGAAGGGAAAATGTATCCGCTTATATATATATATATATATATATATATATATATATATATATATATATATATATATATATATATATATATATATATATAATTAGTTACAAACAGTTTTCAATTAGTAGATTACCTTTAGAAGGAGACGGAGAGGCGGGGGCTGGTTGGTGTTAGGCTGGACCTTGTACCGGCGCAAGCAGGCGGGTCGCCCTGTAGTGTCTATTATGGTATACAAACTTCCCGCCAACCAGTACACACTGTATCCCAGTACAGTCGTTCCTGTAACACCAGTATTGTACTCGTATCAACACGCGGCACTGTTCTATTTTCAACCACCCAGTACTGCACATGATTCTTGTATTACCCAGTACTCTTTTTCTCTGTCCTGGATGACAGAGCGAGAGTACATTTACAATTAGGTTACAATCCTTTTTACCATGTTGTGGCCTAGTTGACCAGGGCATGAGCGTGGGAACACCCATGCCTTTGACCAAAGAGCCAGAGCTCAACCCCAGCAAGTACAACAACTAGGTGAGTACCCACCGCATAGGTTCGAATCCTTATCACGGCTCCTACGGATTTTCTCATAAGTATTATTATTATTATTATTATTATTATTATTATTATTATTATTATTATTATTATTATTATTATATGTAATCCAGCTCGGTTGCTACTGTATTTTGATATATTGGTTTAGCGACTCATCATGCATACATATTTTGTATGAAACAACTAATTTATAATTATCTGTAATTTAATTGTCGTGGATTTACGTTTTACTAAAGTTAAAACCCCTCATAATATACTTGTTTTCTCCGTTATACGATCTAACCATTTTTATACCTAAGTCCCCAATTACAGTTGGTTATGCAATGATTGGGATATATATCCCTATCCTCGCATCCTGCCCAGCAGTCCCAGATACGAACTATACTAGATCACCAGGAGGTTTAGTTTAGGTCTTGTTAGTGATAATTATAGAAACCTGTAATTATTTGCCCAAAAAAACAATGTTGGCTGGTATGAACGAGAACAGTCCATAACTTCATATTTGTAGTGACTCGCAAGAGAACATTTTAGTTGCAAGGGATGTATACATAGATATGTGTTCCATTATTTGTCTGTGTATATACACTGATATTTGTATATACTTGTTGGGTAGTAAGGTATTATGCTGTCCTTTAATAATCATCCAGCGGTTGATAGACTTTTAAGACAAACACCAAAACCCAGCTGTTTAATTCCCATTATCTGAGACAGGAAGGCTTTAGTTAGCCTAATCCTTCCTCCATAAGTCAACTATCAACCTTTCCCAGGATGCAACCCACAACAGTTACCTAACTCTCAAGTACCTATGTACTGCTAAGCAATCATGCAGAGGCATCGGGTGAAAGGAAACCTGGTCAGCCCTTTTTTTATGCCTCTTACTGGGATTGAACCCGAGATTCTCATTTGTGGGTCAAAGACGCAGACCACTGAACTAAAGGACTGGTAAGTAATGGACACTGACCGTAGACAATAAGGTTGAAAGGTTGGTGGCCACAAATGAGGAGCACCCAGTCCCACTGCCTTTGCCAGAACCTGCCAGCAGCCTCCCACACCTTCAGCACCAACACACTGCAAATGCAAGAAACATTTCACCTCATCTTCCTGCTTTAGTCATCCTCATTTAACGCAATATTCAGCTACAATCACTTTCGAAAATATGTCATTGTAAAATTGAATTCATTTAATCAACTTGGCTTCAACATTACAAATGTAATAAATATGGCAAGAGTAGAATCTCGCCGCCAGAAGTACAGTACATAATGTTTACATGCTAAAGTTATGTCTGTCATACTGATATGTTTTTGGTTCATATTGACGCTTCTTACTAATAATCCACGGTGTTCCCGAGAGTCAGCAAAGTTAGGGAGGTACAGACGACGGTCAGGAGGAGGAGGACCTTACTGAAGGAGAAGGTAGAGGGGCTGTCCGCCCGCCGTCCGTCCTCCTGATTCCCCGTCATACTGCAAAACATTAAACAATAATATAAATAAAGATTGATAAAGATTAAGCCACCCAAGAGGTGGCACGGGCATGAATAGCCCGTAAAATATAAATAAGTTGTACGAACATTATTATATGAGTATGTACACAATTATCCGAGTAGCCTGAAAAAGTTATGCAAGTATGTGCATAGTTTATAATAATAATAATTCATTATGTCGGTGGACAGGCAGCCAATTTATACATATATGTATCTGATGTAAGTCTGTCTGGTCTTCACCACACACTCAGACCTTGACAAAGCACTCAGGAGAGTGCGAAAGACTTAATGCGAAAAGGTGATGTAAATTCCTTACATAAATTTCACAAATACACAAGTGTATGGGTTGTTATCCTACGTTATTATGTCTGTGAGAAGGCATTGCAATTACTTAAACTGAATGATTATAGAACTTAAAAAAATATATATAAAATACCTTTTTTGGCGTTTGAGAGGAAAGGATTTAAATAATATATTACGCTCTATGTAGAGCAGCCTAACCCAGCCACTGTCGGGGTGATAATGGCTATCTCATCACTACACAATAATCTCACCACTACACACTATATCAGTTACTTAGGTTGACCAAATTTAAGAAAAACTAATTGCTAGGATTAATGTATTTTTTAAAATTAAAGTCCAAATATAGTTTTTTATGGCAATTCAACTTCTTTATAAGTTGATATTGAGTACTATATTATAGCCATATTAAGTTCCTCTCGACCAGCTGTTATCGTGGTGCTTGACAGTAATCTGTTAGTTTGATAAATAGCTTATAGGTTGTTGACGTATATGTTAACCAGCTCCTCAACGCTGTAACGTGCTTAGCTAAACGAGTTCTTGGGTTTAGTTCCTGAGCCAATTATGTGCCTCAACTGTAAGCTTTTCCACTACCACCCACACGATGGGTATGGGTGCAGAATTAATTAACTGTATTAACTGTGTCGCCTCGCCGAGACAGACTTCTGTCTCGGCAGACAGACTGAAGACTATCAGGTCTTCTTGAAGAATGTCCCCGTACTGACTGTCTTTCGCCCTCCGGGGCTGAGATATGCTGAACTCCGTAAATACTATCGGAATACAGGAACACTTGATGATACACTGGTATGATGATAGCTGTTTCTACAACAGTTATCTTACCCTGAAAAATGTATATGTTTATCACTCAGAATGTCCATAGGTCATAGAATAATAATAATAATTTACTCACAAGAAGGTACAATGGGTTAGTGAGATTACATAACATTGGTATTTTTACATTCGATGAAGAGGCACATTGCAGCAAGGTTTTATATCAACATATAACTACAATATAAATTGACAGAGCTGATAACACTGGTGACGATATATATATGTTTTAAGTAATAATATTGGGGGAAGTGGGTAGTGCAATATACAGAGTGAGTTTGAAGCACAAGGTAGGAAACTATGAGGATGAAATTAGGAACTTTTTGGTGTTACTTTTGAATAATGCATAGATTGGACGATTTCTTAATTCATTAAGGAGTGAGTTACATAGACTGGGTACCTTCATTTGCATGGGCTGTTTACACAGATTTAGTTTGACTCTGGGGATATCAAAGATATATTTATTTCTGGTGTGGGTTAATAATACATAAATTAATAATAAATTTACCTTTATTTGATTATTATTATTATTATTATTATTATTATTATTATTATTATTATTATTATTATTATTATTATTATTTATTAATGTTTTTAGGTCCAGCTAGTATTATTTACCTTAACTTGTGTTAGGTCCGTAATCCCTCACGTGAGGCACAACACCGGGTGCTGGAGATGGTGTCAGCGGCCAAACACCTCCAGGATTACCTGAATTTACTTGAAGTTCACCATCTTTAGCGGCCTCAGCGAGGTCACAAATACAACAATGGCAATATGGAGAATGCTGAGGTCCTTGATGGGACTGAAGAGCAGCATTACCAGAGGACGGCAGGCGGCTGCTAGGACTCTGCAGACATCCTCCTACAGGCGAGGTGCACCTGCTGCCTCTATTGTGGGTAGGTGTATAGTGAAGCTGGTGTATGATGAAGCTGATGTGTGGGGAACCTGGTGTATGGGGAACCTGGTGTGTGGGGAACCAAGTGTATGGGGAACCTGGTGTATGGGGAAACTGATGTATAGGGAACCAGGTGTATGTGGAATCTGGTGTATGGAGGAACCAGATGTATGGGGAACTTGGTGTATGATGAACCAGGTCTATGGGGAACGTGGTGTATGGGGAACTTGGTGTATGGGGAACCAGGTGTATGAGGAACTAAGTGTATGGGGAACCAGGTGTATGAGGAACTAAGTGTATGGTGAACCAGGTGTATGATTAGGGTTGCTGTATCTGAAGAGTCAAAATCCAGGACACCACTAACTGTCACCACGACCCTCTTGTCCCCGCCCATCACACACTTTGACCCTTTGGCGTTATTTACCAGAATTTACCTGAGGGCCACCAACACTAGAGGCCTCGATGAGGACAGGAAGCTGACGGCTTGTCAAAGGTGCCCTGACGATCTTTTCCATTTGGATTTTTAAATTTAACAGTTTGGCATTTACGGCTTTGGTGGGTAGGCGGATCCATTGTGGCTTGTTAAGTTTGAAACCATTGCTCCTTATTTGTCCAAATTACTCCTGTGCAACACCTCATAATTTCTACTGAAAAAAAATTATCTGGGCCATTACAGCTAGACCATGATAGGCAGAGACTTTTTACACAGATTTCCATGCATCCTGGATCCCAATTAACAATGTCAAATTAATAATTTTCACAGGATTTTTGTTTTATTGCAATTTGCAAACAATGCATTAAAATGGCCTGTGAAGTTAGGGGTTAAATAAGTAAATAGGAATACTGTATAGCAATTTTGGTGTTTTAGTGATTATTTTGTTTATTTACAGTACTAAAAATTAAATATTAATGTTTTTTGGCATCTTCAATAATATATTTCATTTCCAATGAAATTTGCTTGCATTTCCGAGAATATTTGCTTATGTTGCAAGAACCGAGAATTGATTTGGTTATACAGTAGTTTTTTTCTTTTGAAAGGACTATAACTGGGACCGTTTGTCTATTTTGAGACAAGAACCAGGACTGGAACCTGGTCTTTTTGAAGAGCTAACCCACAATAAGTAGTGGGTCTTTGTCACTTGTCTTCCTCCATCAGTGTTTCACTCCTGCACTATCTTCACACTGAAGAGCCTGCTAAACCTACATAACCTCAACATCCATTATACACTTCAAAGCTTGGTTTTAAAGTGCTTTCCCGCTTAATACTGAATGCGTTTGTTCCAATACATAAATCAGGGGCTGCCTAATATATTTAATATTTTTTTTTATTTTTGCTAAACTATACTGGTCAATTGTAGATTTCTGAGTTGATTTCTTTTATTAATTAAGAATTTGTTTTGGGGGGATTTCAGGTGATGCAGCCAGGGAATTTCAGATTGGTGCTGAAATTTCAGGATTTTTGGTAAAGGAAGTAAAGGATGTGCCAGAGCTTCATCTAACTGCCGTCCGTTTAGAACACTTGGCCACTGGAGCTGACTTCCTACACATTGCCCGAGATGATCCTAACAATGTATTTTGTGTGGGATTCCGCACTACACCAACAGACTCTACTGGAGTGCCACACATTCTTGAACACACTGTTCTTTGTGGCAGTAGCAAGTATCCATGTAGGGATCCATTTTTCAAAATGTTAAACCGTTCTCTCTCTACTTTTATGAATGCCATGACAGGTAGTGATTTCACAATATATCCATTCTCAACTCAGCATCCTGTAGATTTTAGAAACTTAATGTCGGTGTACATGGATGCAGTATTTAGACCTAATCTGTCGGAACTGGACTTTCTTCAGGAAGGTTGGCGGCTTGAGCATAAAAACATCCAGGATAAATCATCATCTATAGTGTTCAAAGGGGTTGTATTTAACGAGATGAAAGGTGTGTTTGCTGACTCACAGCGTCTTTTTATGCAGAAGCTGCAGAATGGTCTCCTGCCTTCTCATACTTATGGTGTTGTGAGTGGTGGTGACCCACTCTGCATCCCTCAGTTGACTTGGGAGCAACTCAAAGAATTCCATGCTTACCATTATCATCCAAGTAATGCTCATTTCTTCACCTATGGGGATCAGCCTCTTTCTAACCACCTTGAATTTATAAATGATAAATATTTAGTCAATTACACAAAAATTAACCCTCGAACAGAAGTTCCAGAGGAGCCTAGCTGGTCAGAACCTAGATGTGCACATATAGATTGTGGTGTGGATCCTATGGCTAGCAGTGAAGCTCAAACAAGCATAGCTGTATCATATAAATTAGTCAACATTACTAATACCTTTGAAACTTTTGTGCTTCATATACTTGGAGAACTGTTAATGAATGGTCCAAATGCTCCATTTTACAAGTCCCTTTTGGAACCACAGTTAGGATCTAGCTTCTCACCCTCGTCTGGTTTTGATTCTCATACGCGAAACACAACCTTTACTGTTGGACTGCAGGGGATTAAAACTGGTGACATTGAGAAAATAAAATGTATTATTGATGAAACATTTGATCGCGTGGTAAAGGAAGGGTTTTCCCCAGAACGTGTTGAAGCAGTGTTGCATAATCTAGAACTTGGGATCAAGCATCAGACATCAAAATTTGGACTTGGTTTAGCTATGAGTCTAACTCCACTGTGGAATTTAGATGGTGATCCAGTTGATGTTCTACAGATTAACAGTAAAATTGATAGATTTAAAAAGTGCATTACAGAAAACCCAAGATTCTTGCAAGAGAAAATTGAAAAATATTTCAAACAAAATACTCATAAGTACACTCAAACCATGTCACCAAGGGAGGATTATGAAGCAAAATTGCAGGAGGCAGAGGAGGCACTCTTAACTGAAAAGGTGTCTGAATTAACAGATGAAGATTATACAAGAATTTGGAAAACTGGGCACACTTTGGCAAGTAAACAAGAGGAGGAGGAGGATCTTTCCAGTCTTCCAACATTGCAGGTTTCAGATATTAGCCGGAATATATCGCCAGTCCTCGTAACAGATGTCAACATTTCAAATGGTGTTTCAGTTCAGGTTTGTGATCAACCCACTAATGGAATTACCTACTTCTCAGCCATTCTTGATACCCATGATATACCTGCTCATCTTAGGCTGCTCGTTCCTTTGCTGTGTGGTGTACTTACACATATGGGGGCAGGCCACCTTGATTTTCGACAGCTTGATCAGGAGGTGGAATTGGTTACAGGTGGCTTAAGTGTTTCTACTCACTTAAGTACACATCCAATCAGTGTCTCACAGTATGAAGAAGGAATCATACTCTCATCACATTGTTTAAACAAAAATTTGTCTAGAATGCTTAATATTTGGTCTTTAATATTCAATGAAGTGAATTTAAATGACTTGCAGAGGTTTACGACACTGGTCAATATGATAGCCACTGATCAAGCAAACAGTTTGGTACATTCTGGTCATCGGTATGCAATGACGGCTGCAAGTGCCACAACTAGCCATGTGGCAGCTCTCACTGAATGTTGGAGTGGACTTACATTCCTGCGGCAGATGAAAGCTCTGAGTGAAATGGAAGATTTAACCCAGATACTGAAACAGTTGCACGAGTTATCCAGCTTATTATTGTCCAAGCAGAAGTTGAGAATGGCCATCAATACAACACCAGATTATCATGATGTAGCTCTTCATAATTTTGAAGATTTTTGTAGTAATTTGTCAGGTAATCCCCCTGGTTCCTTATCTCATGCTGCTGTTCCTGAGACTTTCACACCACACAAAGCCAAGACTCATCATGTGTTTCCTTTCCCAGTTAATTTTGCATCTAAATCTTTCTCTGGTGTGCCCTATGCTCACCCAGATGCCGGAGCTCTGAGAGTGCTTGCACGTGTAATGTTTCGCTTCTTGCACCGAGAAATTAGAGAAAAAGGTGGTGCCTATGGTGGAGGTGCTGTAGCATCCCCTGGAGGAGCATTCTCCTTTTACAGTTATCGCGACCCCCATTCTACACAAACATTAGACACCTTTGATGCTGCCACTGAATGGGTATTGTCAGGTGGGTTTAATGAACGGGATGTTGCTGAGGCAAAGTTGGGAGTTTTCCAAGCCATTGATGCTCCAGTGTCTCCAGGGTCGCAGGGAAAGCGGCGCTTCCTCTCGCACATTACAGATGAATTATTTGCTGATCACCGAAGACTTATTCTGGATACAACCTCACAGGATCTGGTGAAGGTAGCACGTGTGTACCTCCAGGATGCAACTGTAGAGGGTACTTGCCTCATTGGTCCTCAGAATGATAAGATTTCAAATAATGTTTTCTGGAATATTGTTAATAAATGAGGTTAAATGTTGTACAGTTATAAGTAAACATTTTAGTAATACAGTGCAGTACAGTACAATGAGCACTTGATTTGATTGAATTTAGTTAACAAGATTCTCATAATGTTAGGTATACTTTCAACATCAAAATTAAAAGTATGAGAGTCTTGAGAAATTAGTAGCTGACTTTGTTTTCAATCCTGATTCACCTGCGAACCTGATCCTTTACCTGGGAACAGGATCAGGTACAGAAATTTTTTATGTACCTGATAACATAAAAATTAACTTGTACCTCGTAATTTCTCGCATTTGTTTGAATCATTTTTTGTATTCCTGTACTTGTGTCATGGCATCTTTCAAGCATTTTTCACATCATAATGTACAGTATTTATGGATGGAGTATTTTAGTTTTGATATTCAGATTGGTGTTTTATAAAGTGAAAAAAAATTGGTCTCTAATACATCACTGTTTTTCCTATAGAATTTTGTTTACTCCACACAAGATGTTTCCAATAATGCATCAGTTGTGCAAATTGATGGACTTCTGCACAGTAAATATTATGGATGCAACAAAGAAAGTGAGTGCTTTGATGTATTCTCATTTAAATATGTATGGCCCAGCAGTACAATAGGTATTTATGAACTTGATCATTAACTTGAATTAATGATCAGTATGTGCACATGAAAAAGTATCCAATTCAAGGTTTTACAATATTTTGTTTTTATATGACAAAATTAGAGTAATAATGATGATGTTAAAAGTTGTTAAATGCAGTCATAATTACATGTCATGTCAGTGCTAGTTAGGGCAGGTGAAGAGAATATGTCCCTCAGATGAAGAGAAAAGACTGATTAGAAAGTTCACATTAGATCTATCTTCCAGTATAACCTATGGAAAGATGTGGGGGGGGGATGTCCCAGAGTCAGCTGGTTACCTCAGGTCAGATGTAGCACTAGGGCTCAATATCATCAAACCATAAAGAGAATTAATATAATATTGAGAGATCATAGGTTGCTGATAAGCTTTTAAGAAAAAAGTGTGAAAAATAAAAAGTTCATGCAAATAGGTAAAAAAACATCATGGACGATTCTTCTGGGCCTCATAATGTGTGTAATATATATTCAAAGATAAATTGTTAATGTTGCACTGCTGCTATATTCCAAACCTGTTCACTTAGACAAGCAAGGCAACTATCATTCAAGGGAAATAAAAAAGTATAAGTTTTTGGTATATTTTTGTCCACAATTAATTGTATACTACAGTATACATGTTGATTTATGGGGTTGAGAAATGAATCTCCCATTTATTGCTGTTATATATTAAAGATATATAAATTATACTACAAAAAATTACAAAATAAATTTGTTTGGAACAATACTAACATTATTACAACATCAATCTTTCTTAAAATATAGTGGGTATCAATGAAAGACCATGGTAGAGAAAATGAACTGCAGTCGGATCCAGAATCTATAAAGTGTTACTTTACACTAGTGTTGTATTTGCTTTTAAGCAAGAAAATGGGACCATTAAAATAACGAACAGTAAATTTTTTACTCTTGAGTTTGTGATGTGATGAATCATCTGTAGCAATTGTTAGAAACCTAATTGCAGTAATTAATTTTAGTTGAAGATAATTATAGCATCAAAAGAGGGCACCAAGCGGGGAAGACTTATGTAGTGCCATCAACGTCGCAGGAGATTCGAAAGGCACTAAATATTATATCACATATAATATGAATTATATCACTAAGGATTCCAATACTGGAGCAAAAGTGCATAACGTGAGCGATATCAAAGGTATCAGATTCACCAAGGATTCCATCAAGTGACAGATGGGAAGCAAGACACAGGAATGCACTGAAAATCAGGATGTTCTACAAGCATGACTATAAGAGGGACTTTGCAGTTCGGACAAGGAGCAAGAGGGCAGCATTCCATAAAGTGCCTGTGAGTCAAGTGAGCCTGTGAGTCAAAAATTTGTCGCTAGACAAATTTTTAATAAGACAAACAAGCGGTGAACCACAATCAGGTCCTAGTGGTATGTAGGCAAAACATAGGAGAGAGAGTACTCCAGAGAAGTCCTCACTGCCTGATGTTATAATGGAAGGGGACTCCCAAACAGTAGCACCTCTCCTCCTCCCCCCTCATCACCATCTCCCATAAGCCATCAAGAGTCCTCCATAAAGGTAAGATGAACATATGTACTGTATTGTAGTTAGAGAAAAAAATTGTATTCAATATAAAATGTATTTTTAAGTTAATATTTTTGGGGGTGTGGAACGGATTAATTCAACTCCCTTTATTTCTTATGAGAAAAATCGCTTCGACTTACGATATTTCAACTAACAATACGTCTCAGGAAATGGATTACCATCGTAAATCGAGGCCCTACTGTATTTTTGTTCTGTTAGTAAGATATTAACTACTGTACTGTACTGTTGCTAGAACTACTGACTCCATAATGTAATACCCTATGCCTGTCATCATTATCATCATTTTATTGTATTCATCTGTTATTTTACTTGAACTTTTAAAAAAAATACAATTATTTTTACTTCTCTGTTAGTATTAAGAATTTACCCCTTCACATCTTTATACAAATTTTTATCAAAATTATTTTAAGTTTTACCCAAAACGCTTTACATAATAGTGGCTTCATTAGTTTATCTACCTCCTAACAATACCCAAATAGATTTTGTTCATTGCTCTTATGTTCTTTGTACAGCCATTATTTTGAATAAAACTTTGAATTTTGATTTCTGAATTTAACAAATACTTTGAAACTGTTCAAAGTGTTCATTTTGCATACTTCCTTTTCATTCTTTGAATCTGTTCCACATTTTCAATCTTTGGATTATATGCAGCATGCTTTTAATAAATTTATAGAAAAGGTCTGGTTCTGTTTTATATTTGCTATCCCTGTTTCAAAGTTTCTTTCTGCCCCTCTTCTTACTTAGTTTCTTCTAGGTTAGTGTCTTACTGGTTTATATGGCTGGTAAGTTTGAGGGTTAGCCCCTCTTCCTATATTGAATCCATTTTAGTATTTTCTTCACTGGATGTTTTGTAGTTTCTGTAACAAAATCCAGCTTTCTAGTTCTACATTTCTGTTTTGGTATAATTTTTTGTGCCATTATCATATATATCACAAAATTTGCCATACATCTCATTTACTTCCTTGCATAACAAGTATTTTTAACCAAATTTATTAAATAATTTGCCAAGTTTTCCATAGTGCCTTCTGAAATCAAGTTTTTCAACCGTTTAATTTTTCCCATTCCCTTGTAGATTAAAATGTATTGCATATTTTATTTCCAAGATGATGTCGTTGTTCTTTCCCAAGGGAGGGAGGAAGGTACTGAATATCAAATATCTCTGTTTCCTAGTGAATATCAAATCCAGGATTAATTGAACGTCCCCTTCCTTCATTTTCATGGCCTGCTTAATGTGCAAATACATGAACGTTTCCAGGATGAGGTTTACAAATCTGCCTGTCCAAATGTTCTCTGTTCTTGCTTCATAGGCCTCCCAGTCTATTGCCTTAAAGTTGAAAATCCCAAAGTACCAACAATCGTGATTTATCTTTGTCAGCTCTTACCATAATCTCTCTCGTGACCATTACAAGGCCCTCTCATTTGTCATCCAGTTCTTCCTTTGTCCATGTGTTGCTTGCTGCTGGGCTGTAGGCATTTAAAATTATCAGTTTATCTTGATTCCAGAGCTGCAATGCCATTATGTCAATATCTCGAGGGTTTTCAAACATTAATTATCTGACCTTCAGGTGTTCTTTCACCAGCACTGTGTGTGTGTGTGTTTGGGTGCTTGTGTATTCTTAGGTTTTTGTAAGTTTTTGGCCATGTTCTGTGGTTGATGGGAAAGGTATGTTCAGTACTGAAAGGTTTTAGAGATCACAATTTAATTTGGAAAGTGGTCAAAATCTGGCTGGAAAAAAATCTTGGTGGAAAATGGGTGGGAAACCTTTGATAATCTGATGGCTTTGTCCCCTTTGTAGCCACTAGATAAACAGTGGCCTTCAGATAAATTCAGGTGTTTTCACATTGTTGAAGTGAAACACTAGCTATATTTCTAGTGTGTTATTGTCTCATTTTATGATTTATGATATAAGTTGTCAATGGCACAGCCTGTAATGACTGTGGAATACGGCATAGTTAGCGAGTTGGTATGTAGTACAAGAGCATAAAGACACAAGACGAGTAATGCCAAAAGAATCAGATCTCATTTAATTTTAAGTTACCCCACTAAGCCATATTGTTCACCATTTGATTTCCACAATATGGTCAAAAGACTATGCATATTACTGGCTACAGGCTTATTTAGGAATCCTACACTATTCTTGTATCCTATGTATGCATCATTATCATCAGATTTGCAGAGAACTTTATTGAGGTATACATGGCTCAAAGGTACAGTAGAGAAGCAACATTTCTGATCATCCTGAAAGTCAGGACATTATATGAAAGGTGTTACTTAGGAGGACACTGCAGTTCCAACAGTCAGTGAATGTCTATGACTGTTAGAACTGACTCTCTTAAGTGCTACCGAGTAAATTGTATGTGGCCAATATCAGCTTGACTAGGGCAAGCCAACTGATTCAGTTGGATTACAGTGAACCTTGTTTTACTCCTATACCCTCCACAAAGAAGCATGTTGCAGATCCTGGGCAGATTAATGTAGATGGCAAATACACAGGTTTTTATGCATCACAAACACAGGGTATGAGATCTGTTAAATGTGGGGCCTCCTTAACTAGACATACAATGCATTTTTTCTTTAGGTAGGAGAAAAAGCTTAAATTAATACTTTTCAACTGCCTGTTAGATCACAGAAGCATTCAAACCCAATTCACCTTAAAGATAATGTTCTTGTTGAATTAGAAGGCCAGGTGGTAGGGGATGAAATGAGTACGAATGTAGTGTTGAGTGACTTTTTTGACATTATTCCGATGTATGAATGATATTTAAGAAATAGACACAGTAATAAGTAAACCAGATTTATTAATATTTAATATTTTACCAAGAGGAACTACTTAACACTCAATTTTATTACTATAGTACATGATTTTCATCTTGAGATTCATATCATTATAGTAGTAATATACTAAAATAACTAAAGCCCCAAATCTTTTCTAATTCACAACCTTTTATATTTGTGAAGATTCAACAAAGATTAATTTTCTGCCCCTTTATAACAATGCAAATACTGTAATACAAATAAGTCTTGAAAAATCACAAGGGAATAATATATCAAATGAGAAAACCATTTTGGAGGAAAAAAAATGAGATGACCTGAACCAGCATTTTGGCAATTCCTGGACTCCTGCTTTCACTCACTCAGCCTGAATATGTATATGCAGTTGGTCTATTCACCAGTCAATCATATCGCTTCCATTATTCGATAATACTGTATGTTTATATTTCTTAACTTACTAAAGTTTAGGTGTTGTACCATTTTTAACCCATGTCTTTTCTTCTGCATTCTTAATTTTCATTTTATACAACATTTGTTATAGGCAAGGTACAAGGCTAGTTGTCACAGGTTGTTGAGTTCCTCCACACCCAGTTCTTGCCCCCTAGATGATGGGCAGGAACTATGGATACTGTGTGCATTTCCTGTGTAGTTCTTTTGTAGTTTCTTTCTTTTTCCATGGTCCTTTTGTGTGAGTATGTGTGTTCACCTACTTGTACAGTAATCACCTAGTTGTACAGTACTCGCCTAGTACACAGAGAAGTCACATTAACGTGATATCTCAATAAACAAATCCACAGGAGCTGTGATGAGGGTTCAAACCTATGCGCTGGGTGTTCCCAGGCATGCTCTAGTTGATTGCACCATGACATGATCAAAAGAATTGCAACCTAGGATACTTCTGCACCCACAAGGATCCCAAGGCTTCCATTGAAGCCTAACCGGGGTTTCACACAATTCCCCCCCCCCCCCCACCCTGCACTCGGACTCTGTTGTCCAGTAGGTCTACTTCTGATGCCCCTTCCAATACACAGAAATCACATTAATGTCACACATCAATGAACAAGTTATATATAATGTTTAATGTGAACCCTCATCACAGCTCCTGTGGATTTCATTACTCGCCTAGTTGTACAGTTTTCACCCAGTTGTACAGTACTCGCCTAATGATTATTGCCAAATGTAATTTCAAAGACAGTTTTAATACAGAAAATATGCACAAACTAATTTTAATGAATACTCTTCCAGTTACAAATTTGGCTAATAATTATCATCCAGACTACTCAAGCGTCAGAAGTTGTCCTTTATTATATTAACAAGAGTTGCCACATCCATTCTGTGACCATTACTACAATCAAAAAATTATGATAGTGCTGGTTCTGTCACCGCCCAGATGTGGCATCCAGTTGCTGCTGGCAATGCAGGTTGTCAAACATGATCTTGCACATGGTCTCTAGGCTGTAGTGGTGGCTCCATCCCCAGTCCTGCCGTGCCTCAGAGTCATCAAACACCTCTGGCCAAGTGTCAGCTGAAGGTGGACAAAGTGTCGGTTACATTAAAGAAACATGTTATAAACAAGCTTACACTAGCATTCGTTTGGCCTGATTTGCCAAAATTGTATTAGAGAATGGGGTACTTTTTTAGTGCAACCTTATTATCGAGATTAAATAAATTTTTATTTAATTGTTATTTATATACTAGAAGATACATTGGGTTGTGAGTACATAATATTGGTGTTCTTGAATTCTTGCAAAGCCACTAACACACACAATGTTTCAGGCAGATCCTTAACCTAACATATAAAAGTAAGAGTAATTAGAAGGTACATTGTCTGCTACAATGTACCCCTTCCCTGAATACACAACAAATCAGCAACAGGCCAGCAACCAACCACTGCCGCCAACAGAAAACAAAGGATTTCATCAGGAAATAACAACGTACTAGAAGGGAAATGTATGCGAGAGCCAGGGTCCACACAAAGTCCAAAGACCGAGCCAGCACGGCCTGTCAACGTGTGAAACGGGGAGAAAAAAAAATAAATGCCTCCCGGATAATTGAAACAAAGCTTAGGGAGGGCAGCAGATGTCAAAGCAGCAGCCAAACCCCCATAAGAGGAACCTCACAGTGTCCCAACATCCTTCGAGGGCCAATCTCTGCAAACCCCCAGTCTCCGTGGCGTAGTGGCAAGAGGCTCGCCTGGCGTTCCGCGAGCACTTTGTCCTGGGTTTGTATCCTGGTCAGGGAGGATTTATGGGGTGCAAATCCTTAACTGTAGCCTCTGTTTAACTCAACAGTAAAATGGGTACCTGGTTATAAAAACAATTCTTCGTGGGAGGTCATATTCCAGGGGGACATAGGATTAAGGACTTGCCCAAAACGCTACGCGTACTAGTGGCTGTACAAGAATGTAACAACTCTTGTCTATATCCCCCCCCCAAAACAATCTGAATAAAGCTCTAGGAGGTTTAAGAAATGCACGACAGAAGCCAACTGCGAGCTTGTACGAAGGTCATCGGCAATCAAAACAGCAGACAAAAGTGGCGTGCAGCGGCACAAGATCCACATCACTGGGAAGGGCAAGAGCAAAGTGGCATACATTGAGGGAATCAAAAGAACCCCCCAGAAAAATCTACAACACAGATGACACCTGCCAGTCAAGTGTTCGGGAACCACAAAATGCGCACCAAGCCCCTTTGGTACACAAAGGAAATTTTGCCAGCCAGGATGACTGAAACCTTGTAATTGCACCCAACGAGGAAAAGAAGAACCAAACTCAAAAGAGGCCGGATCCATAACCGACTGGAGCAGGAGGTAATCACTAAGGGCCTCCCAAACCTCTGCTGGAGAAACCCGGGAGGAAGGAAATCTCCAGAAGGACCAGTCCAAAGCACCCAAAGGCACATGGAAACGAACCCTGGGAAGAGCCGCACCCAACTCAAACAAGGTAGGGGGATAGAAAACTCAACAAAAGACTATTCACAGAAGGTACAAAGGCCCACAAAGGGTCAAACAGGATGCAAGGGGCCCCAATCTGACCCGAACACCCAAAGAAAGATAACCCTGACCGTGCAGGGTTAAGGTGCACATAGGGAATAAACCCCAAGTACACAACACTTTTGGCTCATGGTATACAAACATATAAGAACAGTCTCAAAGGCAAAACATCTTGAAAAAATAGGAGAGTGGAGCCAGAGCGATTAGGATAGCAACCAGGTACATCAAAATAAGATTTGTGGGTGGGGCGAGCCGGCTGACCTGATCTGCTTCCTTCCTTCCTTTCCCCAAATGAAGGGGAGAGGTGGAGTAAACTAGCTTGCTCTAGTTTCACAAAACTTTGTTTATTTTCATTGTTGGGGAGTTTTTTTGGCAATTTTTGAGACTGTGGTCTCGTTCTAACCATGCAAGTAGTCTTATGTTTCACTGACTTTCTGGGTACCTTTCCTGGTGGTGGCATACATGATCAACTTTAAATGTAAGGTGTCCATAGTGCCACCACTCCCTGCATCTCTGAGGAGGCCAAGTTCTGGCTCATGATACACAGTAAGCCGCCATAAGAACTCCGTGACTGATGGCCCTTAGTAGTATGGTACTGAATTAGTGCTTCAGGGAACCTCCGGGGCTTCCCCCATAAATGCACCTTAGTAATATTGGCAAAAATATACAAATGTTATATACTTCAGTATATCCGTGTTGTTGCTAAAACTATTATTTGTATAATGCAGTAGTCGATGCCTATCATAATTGTCACCTTTATACTATTTATCATCAAATTTCTTGACCATCTCATATGTGATAGCTTACTTCTCATTTTGTATTAAGCTTACCCCTCATATACCAATGCAATTTAACTAAATTATTCCAAGTTCGAAATACTTTGTGTATTAGTGGCAAATGCTAATGGATCCAATATGCATTCCTATTATCTTCAAATATACCTCTATGTTCTTATGTAAAGATTTTATGAATCATTATTATTATTATTAATTATTATCATACAAAAACACAATCACTCAATCACCCTCCCTATGTCACACCCACTTCCCCGCTCCAAACATACAAGTACTAAAGAACCCACCAATGTTCTGCCTGGAGTCTGGTTTGTAGGAGACACGTAGATTGGGGAAATGTTTGCGCACCTCCCCTACAATTTCCTCTGGGGAAAAGCTCATGGCTGTCACATTATACGTTCGACGGAGCAACTTCTCCTGGGGCGCCACCAGCATCTCCCATAATGACCTGCTGGACAACATCCGCTGTGAGAAGATGGCACTGCTTGCAATGAGGAAGTATGGCTAAAGTAATGGTGAAAGAGGCTCAAATGACGAGGAAGGGTAGCTTGAGTTACGAGGAAGGGTACCTAGAGTGACAAGAAAGGGTAGGGAAATGAAGGGATACACAAGGTGCCCCATGTGGGTGCTAAGAGACAGATCATAGTGTAAAGGAGTGAGAGCACTGTATGCACTGCATACAATAGTTAAGTTAAGAGCGAAGGAACATGTCCATCTATAGCAGATCTGGACGAGAGTTGGAAAGAGGGGAGAGTGAGGGAATGTGTTCATCTACCCAGTGGGCACTGCTTTCTGAAAGCAACTGATATGTACTAAACAATATGTAATGTCTGTTGCTTTCAACCAATGGTGCCCATTGGATAGCAGATCTGGAGGAGAGTTGCAGAGAGGGAAGAGTGAAGAGACATGTCCAAATGCCTGGACTTGATAAGAACTGGAGAGATGTCCAGTTAGCAAGGTTGAAATAGTGTCTGCAAAGTTGATATAGCAAGGGCAGACACACATACAATATGAACATCACAATAATAAAATTTGCATCATTCAAATGTACCTACAATCACAACAAATATACCTTGATACTAAATATAAACATGAATTTTCAAACATAAGGCACAAAATTGTTAGGACTGCTACTTTAGCAATGTTATTTAATGTAATGAATATCAGGATGAAAGAGGACTGGTTTGAGAAGACTCGCCTGAGGCAGTCGTCGATGTACATCATGGGAAGGCGAGTGGTGGGTTTCAGGTAGCACTCGAATTCTCGACCTTCAATGGCGTCATGGAAGATCTGCACAGCATAGTCTAGAAGGAGAGGGTAGTGAGTAGGTAGGGTGGTGATTCACCTGTGGTGTATATCTCTGGTGTCGTGTTTCACCTGTGGTTTATCTCTAGGTTGTGGCATTTCACATGTGGTGTCTCTCTAGGGTGTGGTGTTTCACCTGTGGTGTCTCAAGTCTGTTGTTCACCTGTGGTCTCGAGTGTGGTGTTTCACCTGTGACATGTCCCTCAGGGGTAGTGATCCACCTGTGACACGTCTCGGGTGTGGTTTCACCTGCAAAGTGTCCTTCGGGTGTGGTACCTCACCTGTGGTGCCTCCCCCTGGCTGAGTGTCAGAGGAAATGACGCCTGGAAATCTGAGACATCGGAAGTCGAGCCCAAACCTGTGGTGGTAGTACTCGCCCAGCAGCTCCCCATGGACCTGCAGACAAAATATTACCGTGTCACCCACTGCTACCTTAGCAAACTTGCACACTTAATTTGGTAAACGTGCACACTGGTGCACTTACATGATCACACATTTTCACATAGCTACACTTACATGATCACACACTTTGACATAGCCACACTGGTACAGCGACATGCAGATACAGTTGGACACTACTACATTAACTTTTGTATTGTTAATTAATGAATTTGACACACACACACACACACATCGAAAGACCAAAGAGCCGAAGCTTAACCCCCGCAAGCACAACTAGGCGAGTACACCTTACCATACAGAAAAAGAAACCCTCTTTGACTCTGAAAGACTTAGGGAGTTGATATTAAACAAAACTTCTCATGTTGACCAGATCACATACTAGAAAGTGAAGGGACGACGACGTTTCAGTCTGTCCTGGACCATTCTCAAGTCGATCTCTAGTGTGTGGTCTGGTCAACATACTTCAGCCACATTATTGTGACTCATCGCCTGCAAAACTTCTCATCTTAAGCCCATAAAAAATGGATATCATCAGCTGCATATATATGGTATGGCAAGATAACTATCTTTACACATCTGAACAGTAGCTTGTCATTCACGCAGTCCGTCCTCTCAACTAGATCACGTTTATTTACGTTATCATAACCAATGTTACAAATGCACTCTATTAAGAAAAGAAACGACAAATATTCAAGCTCTCTATGCATCGGATTAGACAGGTTTGGGTACGCACGTTTCTGGATAGGCTACAAGGTTGGATTCTTATGAGTGGCAATCAAAAAGAATGGGTTGGTACAGGGCCTTGCTTACAATATATATGTCAGATAAATGACAACACAAAACTGTGGAAATTCCACGTGTTCTCCAGACTAATTCCAGCACTGAGAAATGCGAGTTACAAGGAAAAACTGTACAAGTTAAATTTCTCGTCAACTTAATAGGAAAAACAGGGAAAACGTAATAACCACATACAAAGGTTTCAGGAAAACGGACAGGATATTATTTGGCATGGATGATACACAAACAAGGGGGTACAAGTTGAGTAAGTGGGGATTGTCGTGAAGATTGTGTGGTTTAGGGGGTTGTGAGGCGAGGGGGGGGCGCGGGTGAGCACTGTACGTGTGAGGTAGCGATGTTGTGAGTAGAGTTGATGTGGTTGCGGATTGAGGTGAGTGGGTGTGGTGGAGGGATTGTGAGGTGTGGGTGAAGTGGGGAAGGCGTGTGAGGAGTGTTGGGTGTGGTGAAGGACATTGAGGAGAGTGAGAGATTGACAGATTGATAAATATTAAGCTACCCAAGAGGTGGCATGAGCATGAATATCCCGTAAGGAGTGTAGATGTGGTAGAGGAGGTTGTGATGTGAGTGGGGTATAGTGGAGGGGGTTGTTATTTGAGTGGGTGTAGTAGAGGGGGTTGATGTGAGTGGGTGTAGTAGAGGGGGTTGATGTGAGTGGGTGTAGTAGAGGGGGTTGTCGAGAAGTGACAGGTGAAGGACAGGTAACTACCTTAGACACGCCGTAGATGGTCCTGGGTCGCTGGATGGTGAGGTTTGGTGTTGGGTTCCTGGGCGAGTCTGGACCGAAAGCACCGATGGTGGAGGGGACGAAGACCCTGAGGTTGTACTGCTTGCTCAGCTCCATCACGTTGTGCAGACCCTCAATATTGACCCTGCAATACGACATGTGTAAAGCAGAACACTGCAAGCTGGAACTAGATGATCTATTGTCAATCATTATCAAATGTGTCAAACAAAAACTATTAATACGCGAAATATTATTCGAAAATACTTAATACCTCGGAAAAGAAAAATGCTAAATAATTAGCTAAAGCCTCATTATAATAAAGTGTTCTAGTTTGTTAATTGTTATATGTATCTCACCTTATAGCGAGAGGAACGTTCTGCTCGCCGATAGCCGAGAGAAGGGCTGAGAAGTGAACCAGCCAGTCGATCCTGTACATGACCACGATCTCCTGTAGGCACTTGAAGTCCAGAATGTCGGCGAACACGTACGGTCCTGTACCAGCCCATGGAACAGGCAACAGGAATGACGGGAAACATTTAGAATAAGGCACCAATGATATAGTTTATTGGAACGTTTAATGTAAAACTACTTGGAGGGGGACGCTTATTATAAGAAGAATGCGCTAAGCCTGTATGACTATACCACTTGGAAGGGGTATGAAAAGGGAATGAAGAAACCACTTTGTTTCCCCTCAACCACTTGGACCATTGAATGTTGACCCTGTAAAAAGCTAGACCGTTGCTGTACTGACCAGTCCAAGTGGATGAGGCCAGATATTTTGAGCACTAAGATAATAGTGCTAAAAACATGGAGGCCAGCCAATAGAGAAAACGTGCAACTGCAGTGAATGAACACACCTAAGGTGAATGCATAACTACAGTATGTCCTACACAAATTAAATATTAACTGAACATATTAAGACCCTTCCCCTCAGCCATCTTTAATGGCTACAAGAAATAATCAATTCAACATGTATTATTTATATATACAAGAGTTCTTACATTCTTGTACAGTCACTAGCACGCATAGCGTTTCAGGCAAGTCCTTAATCCTAATACTCTCCGGAATAAGACCCCGCCAAATCGTTTAAAACTACTTTTACTGTTGGGGTAAACAGTTGATGTCTTGTCAGCACCATTAGATAAGGCGAACCTTGTAATGTAATGTGAAAGCCAAGTAACATAAGTCACATTGCTCCTGCCGTGAGAAGTGACTTACCTTGAAACTAGAGTGAGCGAACACACTGGTAACTGTCCACATACCTGACTGCACGATGTCCTTGGAGGGCTTGACAATGTCTGACATGATGACGTTGTCAGTGCCATACTTGGACCTGAGGAGCCGTGCCAGACCTGTGCCCAGCTGACCTAGACTACCTGTGGGATAAACACACAGGTATAATAATCATACTTATATTTATAATATATATTCATCAGATTATGTTACAATGGTTAATTAGTAGATACAGAAATTGAATATAAATATTTAAAATGTTTTGGGCACACACAAGATCTGTTTTACCCAAAGCAAACATATAAATTAGAACAATTACTACTTTTCCTGCCGAAAGGATCAATCAATAGGGTAGTTGGTGATATCTGGAACTTCATGACACTTTCCGAAATTAGAAGTATAAAATGAAGCATAGGCCTTGTGATCTCCCGTTTGAAGTAGTTATGTATATAGCAGGAATTTTTTAAGAGAATTTTATATTCTGAAAATTAAATTAACCTTCCCCTCCATAGAAAACTGAATGCTATCGCACACATTTGAACAGGGAAACTATTATATTCTCTGTGAATATCATTTATTATAACGATATAGTTGGTGGGGTTAAGGGAGGAGGACGAGAGGAGCGGGGATGGGGAAGACGAGGGGCGGGAGGAGGGGGACGAGAGGAAGGGTGGGAAGGACGAGAGGGAATGGTGGGAGGACGAGGAGAGGGGGGAATGGGCACCCGAGTACCGTCGAGTACATCTTCTAATATGCAATAAACTTGCACAAAATGTAAGCACTTTTCATTTTAAAGACCAAATGGTGAACAAATGGAATGCGCTAAGAATTGAAGTGGCGGAGGCGAACCCCATTCATAACTATAAACGAAGATAGGCTTCGATTCTCGAGCAGCAGTTAACACCCCCCCCCCCCCGCAAGTACAACACATTAACCTAGGTGAGAACAATGTTATGACTAGGGTTGGTCTTTGTAATGAAACATAGGATATTACGATCAATCAAAT